AGACCTGAGTTCAAATCCTTCCTCACATACTTAGTAGCTATGGTACCTTGGGCAAATGATTCATCTTCTCTCACTCTGTTTCTTCTTGTGTAAAATGGGGAGGGGAAGGGCTGGGGAGTTGGCCTCACTGGCCCTAAATCTTCTGACCAGTGGTCCCCGTCCCTTCCCTTTCCCCACTCCCATAGGAAGTTGTCTGGGGGAGGCTTACTGCCTCTGCTCCCTCAAAAAGAAAGGCCTTCATTGAGGTGTAATTCCAGCCCTGCTCAACCCTGGCAGCCTCAGCCAGTCTGGGCAGATGAGTGCGAGCAGGCAGGCGCATTTGTAACTCCACTTATCAGCTTCAAGGTCAGAGGTGGGGAGAGGGAAGCGGGGGGGGAGTCTCCCCACCTCCCATTGCTGTCTCTTTTGGGAGCCCTGAGTTCACTCTGACCTAGATTCCCAACTCCCTGGAGCTGACCAAGTGAGCTGACTTCATGCCTGTTGATTGCATGTGCTGTGTTGTCCTGGAAGGTGACCTAGAAAGGAAGCACCGACAAAGAAAGAAGCCCCCCCTCGCTTTTGAATTAGCCCAGCCCCCAAATCCAGACATGTCTGCTGGGGAGGGATGCTGCTCACAGACCCACAGACACAAGGCCCAGGGGGGGGCCTTGGAAGTAGGAAAGAAGGCGCCCAGCCAGGGAGCTGTCTCAGCCTCAGTGCCTCAGGGTCCTGTTTGGGGTCCGCCCTAGCAACAAGGAGAGCTGCCGGCCCGGTACGTGGCCCCAGCCCTCTTCCTCTCTGGCTCTGCCAGCATGTCAGCATTGTTGGCCAGAAGCTCACGTTCTCTGCTTACTGTTAACAGCCTGTGTGGAGGCCTCAGGCACTCTCACCTGGCCTATCCGGTAACCTCCTTCCGTCCTGTGCACAGTGGCCGCTGCTGTTCCTTGAGGACGGGTCTGACCTCGCCACTCTTGGTTCACTGTGCTCTGCCAGCTCCCTCCCTGCTGCCTCCAGGGTCAGATTGACATGTCTCTGCTTGGTGTAGAGCCCTTTACGATAAGTTGGCCCTCGCCTGCCTTCCGGACTCTCCTCATACCCTCGAAAGTCCAGGCCTCTGGCCTTCCTCTTGTACTGTGCCTTGTCATGCATGGGGCCTCATCCCTGGGCCACTCTCCTCCTCCCTGCCTCCTCTGTGGGCTCAGTGCCTCAGTGAAGCTCCCCAGAACTCCCGCGATCCACATGGCGTCTCTTTCCCGTTTCCCTCTGTGATGAGATACAGGCCTTCTGCCCAGTGGGCAGCCAGAGGAACTGGGTTCAGATCCTGCCTCTGACACTTAAATGCTCTGGAGGAATCATACCCTCTCTGTGGGCCTCAGTTTCCTCATCTGTAAAGTGAGAGGTTTAGACTCAGTGGTTTCTGGGATGCCTTTCTGTTCTAGGTCTGAGATCTTAGGATTACCTAGCCCTGGGCCTGGAGTGTAGTCAGTCTTTAATAAATCCTTCTGGAGGAAAGGAATGGTGCTGGTGGCGGGGGATATCAGTTCTTGCAGAATTAGAAAGGAGCCAGTCTGTGCCTCTCCTTCCCCTTCCCCTCTTCTCCCACTGTCTGGGAATTCCCAGGGTGGGTGTGGGCATTTTAGCCCCTCGGAAGCACCCTGGGCCCCACAGGGTCAGTGACTGTTCCTGGGTCTCCCAGCCGTAAGCAGGAACCCCCAGGCTGGCCCTGGGCCAGGCTGTCTTTCACACACCTTCTCATGAGCTCCTCTTGTTAGGAAGGAAGAGGATCTGGTCACAGCCCAGACTTTAAGGGGTTAATGTGTCATCCCTCCCTGAAGTGTGTACATTAAAAAAAACCAGCCTGAAAGGAGAAAGCTCCCAAAGGAATGAATCATGAAAGGCCGAATCTCAGGCATCGGTGGGAGAGAGCCCCCTCATATGATGACCCAGGAGCAGCCATGTCCTCTTCTGGCCCAGGGTGGGAGGTCAGGGCACAGCCCCGGGGGGGCTTCTAAATATGATTGAGGCTTTCCTTTTACAGATGAGGAAACTGAGGCCTCTAGAGGCTGAGTGACTTCGCCAACGTGTAGGAAGTGGTGGAGCTGGGATTAGAGGCCAGGCCTGCTTCTCATAGGAACCCGCTGGGTGAGCCGGTGCATGCCACAGAAATAAACCCCGCCAGGGAGCTGCCTCTCCCCTCCTGGCCCAGCAGCCAGTGGAGGCATGGCTTGCCCACATACCCGGGGAGAGAGTAGCTGCTTTGGGCAGACCCCAGACCGCACGGCTGCTCCTCCACCTCCCCCGTCTCTCCCAGCTCCCACTGTGGCACAGACAGCGCTAGGATTGTGAGGTCTTGGGGTCTCCAGCAGAACGAGCACCATGCACGGTCTTCACCAAGAGTGGCTCCGAGATTCCTGGGTCCCCAGGGAGAGCAGAGGGCCAGCCTTCCTTCCCAACAGCCGCCCACACGCTGGCAGGCAAGGGGCTGCTAGCTCTGGGGTTGGAGCCTGCTGGCTCGCTAAGCCCAGGGTTTCTTAGGAGCCAGGGATGTTTGCTGGGCAAACTGACCGGTGCAGCAGGACGGACAGATGGCAGTGCCAGGAGTTTAGGGGGTGGGACGCCACCCTCTTCAGTCATGGTGATCCCGGGTGCCTGCCGGGAAACGCAGAGACATTTTCCCACTTGGGCCCTAGCGTCCCTCGCGAGCTTAGCTGGGCCAATGGCCCAGGAGGGCTCTGCAGGGACAGAGGAGAGGGAGGGGTCTGGCGTCTAATGGGATGGATCCAGGGCAGGGGAAAGGAAGATGGGCTTTTAGGAGTGTATGCGGAGAGGGCAGCGTCGAATTCAAAGGGATGAGTTGCCAGCGGTGGGATTTCAGGCACATCATGCTGTATGGGCCTTCCATTCTGCCCAGCATCCATTTCCCAGGCCTGCTAAGTCTGATAAGTGCCCAGCAATCCTGCGGGAAAGAGAGCGTGCAGTTTAGGACCAACCCTCTCACTTTGCAGAGGAGGAAACTGTCCCAGGCTGGCAACAGCTAAAAGTAGCAGCCCCAGGACTTGAATTCAGGTCTCCTGACTCCAGCCCCAACCCGCTCTTGAGCTCTGCTGGCTCCTTAGGTCCTTTCCACAGAGCAGCATCTGGGGATCCCTCGTGATACATGCCTGGCTGCTACCTGTCTGGACCCTCTGAGCAGGGCCTTTGCTGTGGGAGGAGGGGGCAGCCGCAGCGCCCTCTCCCCTCGGCTGGGCCAGCAGGGCTCCCCAGTCTGCTCTCCTCCCCCCTCGGACCCTGGGACTTTGGGGACTGGCAGGAGATGCAGGTGCAGGGCTTCATCTGTTCCCCCCAAGATCATAATGAGCCTTTTGGGAGGCCCCCCTGAGGAAGAGAGGTTCTCACCAAGAGAGTTCCAGTGTCTCTGTGTGTGTTTGTGAAGTCAGCGTGGCAGGCTGGGGCTGAGAGGGCTGCCCGCGGGATGGTGTGCGTTCGTCCAGGCCGGATGGTGTGTGTGCGTCCAGGGCCGGCTGGGTGTAGGACTGGAGGAGGGGGATGCCGGCTGGTTCAGGCCCTGGCTGTGGGGAGGAGGGATCTATACAGGGAGGCTCCGTTTCTGGGCTCTAGGTACAGAATTCCCCATTACTGCTGCCTAGACCCCATCGGACTATGGCCCCCGGATCTTTCCTGGGTGTAGACAGCCCCCTCCCCCGTGAGCACACAGCTCGTCCTGCTGGGGTGGGGGGAACTGCACGGCCCCCAGGCTCTCAGGCCAGGAGAGCTGAGCCCTCCTTCAGAAGGAGGGGGATCTCCAGCTGGGGGTCAGGGCCATCACCACACCAGCCTTCTCCTCTCTTCCCAGAATCCGCACTCCTCGGAGTGTGGGATGATGTCACTTCCTGGGGGAGGGTGTGGAGAGAAGGAGGAGGAGGCAGCCGCCCCCCCCCCCAGCCAGAACAGCCCCAGTTGACCAGCTGAAGCAGCTGTACTGGGGAGAGAGGATAGTGCTCAGCCAGAGATGGTGGGCAGCTGCCTGCCCAGGGGCCCATACTGGCTGAAGGAGGAGCTTGCAGCTTCCCTCCCATGGGGTGCTAGTCTCCGTGGACAGACACGCACTCCCTGAGGAGGGAGGACCCGCCGCCCTGGACGAGATGCCGTGGGAGCTTCTCGGGCTGCCCTGTATGGCTCACTTGGTAGCAGAGTCCTTCCCGGGGTCTCTCACGACCTGGGCCAGGGAGGCTCTTGTCTAGAGCACACATGCTTCCCTACCCACCCCAGTCCAGGCTCCCTCACATCGCAGCTTCCCCCTCCTGCCCAGGGGTGGCAGTCTTGGCCCAGGATCTGAGCTGGACACAGTCATTCCCCACCTCTTGTCCTGCTACTTGTCATGGACCTGATTGGGAGAAGTACAGGGGAGTGGGTGCCATTGGAGAGGTGGAGATGGCCCTGTTAGCTGTCCAAACGCCTGCCCCAGAAACACCTCAGAGCTCGGGGCAGATAGTAGTGACCCTCCTTCCCTGGAGGCCCTAGCCCAGCAGAGCCTGGGCCATTTCTTGTCTCACGTTCGGTTGGACTAGAGGTGCCAGAGAGCCCACCCAGCCCTCCCAGCCTGTGACTCTGTGACACCGAAGCCTAAGTGCTGTCTGAATGGTGGGAAACCTGAGACCAGAGAGGGGCAGCTACTTTTCCAAAGATGCACAGCAAATCATTGGTATAGTCTCTGCCCTTGCTGTCCGTCTCTACTTCCTGGCCCCAAATTAAACACACCCTGCCTGGATCCTTCCCTCTTCTTCAAGGGGTCAGGGTCAGTGTGGGTGGGGGCCCCCCACAACAGGGCATGTCTCTAAGGACCCTTCCCTGGTCCTCTCCCCCCTGCCCTGCACCCATCACTCTGAGCTGAGCAAGGAGGGGTCATTCAGGCCAGCAGTTGCCCCGGCTCTTTGGCCTGCCCTCCTTCCTTGGAGCCCAGCCTGTGAAGAGCAGCGGAACATGGGGCTGATGCATGGGGACGGTCCTCTGCTTGTTTGCAGGAGGTGAGCGTCACGCCTGTTGAGCCTCCCCAGACCCGCTAGCCATGCCCGGGATCGTGGTGTTCCGCCGGCGCTGGTCTGTGGGCAGCGATGACCTCGTCCTGCCAGCCATCTTCCTCTTCCTCCTGCATACGACCTGGTGAGTGTGGGGGTGTGCACCAGGAAGGTGAGGTGCCCAGGGCCTCTCCCAGCCCGTCCTGGGGGCCGAGCAGCCCAGGAACACTTGGGAGCTGAGGGGGGAGCCCCCCCGGCTACCCTTCCTTCACTGGAGGCCCCTTGGCTCTCTAGACTCAGGATAATGAGGATGTCATACCTCCCACCCTCCCCTTCTGTACTTGAGTAGTTCTAAAATGAGAAGCTTCTGGGGTTTCCTGGACTTTAAGGCAGGGCTGGATGACACCCCCAGAGTGGCCCAGGACCCCTGGCTGGGCTGTGGCTGCTGCCTCCCACGCATGGGCCCTTCCATGGCCCAGCCTGCCAACTTTACCCCGGAAACCTTCATCCCTGCCCAGAAAGGGCTGCACGGCCCATGGTCAGGGAGCAGTCAGCGGTGCTCAAAGGAGGTCATCTCCTGCCGCCGGGCCGACAGCTGCCTTCTTCTTCCTCTGAGCCCCGCCCGCCCGGGCCCCACGTGCCTTGGGCAGCCACTGACCACCCGGCCGATGCCCGGCAGGTTTGTGATCCTCTCAGTGGTGCTCTTTGGCCTGGCGTACAACCCCCAACGAAGCCTGCTCCCTCAACTTGGTGGACCACGGCCGCGGCTACCTGGGCATCCTGTTGAGCTGCATGATCGCCGAGATGGCCATCATATGGCTGAGCATGCGGGGCGGCATCCTCTACACGGAGCCCCGCGAGTCCATGCAGTATGTGCTCTACGTCCGCCTGGGTAAGGCCCTCCCGCCTCGGTCTGTCTGTCTGTCTGTCTGGGGCACTGCCCACTGCAGACGCCTTCATGCCGCTCTGCTCTGTCTGTAGCCATCCTGCTCATCGAGTTCATCTATGCCATCGTGGGCATCGTCTGGCTCACCCACTACTACACCTCCTGCAACGATGTCACTGCCAAGAACGTCACCCTCGGTATGTCCGGCCCTTGGCACCGCGCACACACGCCCCTGGCCCCGGGGAAGGGGACAGACGGGACAGGTTTAATCCAGTTGTACCTGGATAGCCTCCTGCAGGAGACTGCCTGCTGTCTGGGGACGGGGAATGCAGAACTCAATCTTACAAAAGTGAATGTTGAAAACTATCTTTACGTGTCATTGGAAAAAACAAAGTACTGTTATGTGGGACAAAAGGGACAGAGATGACCAGCGTCAGAGGGTCCGTGACCTTGAGGGGACCTGAGAAACCTGAGGGGGAAACCGAGGCTCACAGGTGAAGTCCCACAGGTGGCAGGGGGTCCCAGCAAAGAGCCAGTCAGCCAGCGAGCAGTGACAGGCAGCCTTGTAGACCTCGTGCCACAGCCGTTGGGACTCTGGGATATGCCTCGCTCAGGGCAGGAGCGCTCACTGACCTTGGGCACTCATTCTCTCTGAGCCTCAAGGTTTTTTAAGAAAAATCCCATTCTCATTTCTCACTGCCTTCTCTCCTGACAGAAGGCAGTGGGGCCAGACCCACCATGCTGAGCATCTATGTCTCATTCCCTACCTGCCATACCCCACCTCTCTCACAAGAGGAGGGAAGTAGGGGTCTGCTTCTGGGGTCTTCTGGGATTCGGACTCTCAGCCTCTTGAGCTGTAAAATGGGACAGTCATTCTTATACTACCTCCATAATGGGGAAGCTTTGAGGAGAGTACTGGGTAGGCTCCGTAAAACATTGTAGTTATTTCTGTTATTATTATTATTAGTGCATGTCTACGGAGTCAGGAGTGGTCAGGGGGGACTTTCATTACCCCCCGAGAGGGAGAGAGGGAGCGAGGCCCCCAGACAAGCCCTGACTGCCTTCCTTCCACCCTGCGCCCACAGGAATGGTTGTGTGCAACTGGGTCGTCATCCTGAGTGTCTGCATCACCGTCTTATGCGTCTTCGACCCCACCGGACGGACTTTCGTCAAACTGAGGGCCACCAAGAGGAGGCAGAGGAACCTCCGGACATACAACCTGCGGTCAGTTAGCCAGCCAGGCAGCGCATGAGCTCCTGCCCACTGGGCACAGAGCCCTGGCTCTGGGACTTCAGGGGAAGGAGAGGAAAGGAGTGGCAGAAGTGTCCCTGCTAGGGGAGACAGGACCCTCCACCTCCTCGCACTTCTTTCTCTGTCTGTCTCTGTCTGTCTGTCTCCCCCCGACCTGTTTTCTCTCTGTCTCTCTCTCTCAATCTCAGTCTTTCTCTGTCTCCTCTTGCTCTCTCCTCTCTTTCGCTGTCTCTCTCTCTCTCTCTCTCTCTCTCTCTCTCTCTCTCTCTCTCTCTCCTCTCTCTCTCTCTCTCTCTCTCTCTCTCCCTCTCTGTCTTTCCCTCTCACCATATTAAGCATACACGAAGACTCACAAATGAACAGAGGGTAGACCATTTGTGCTGTGCCGAGGGAACAAGGTAGAGGATGGTTCAGTGGGCTGAGAATTAATCAAGGAGGGCTCCTTGGAGGAAGAGGCTTTTGCCTAAGGTTTCTTGTCAAGAAGGAATCTCACTTAGCAGAGAGGATCTAGCGGGGCATATTAGGAAGAAGCCATAGCTGCACAAAGGTCCAGGGGCAAACCTACCCAGGGAGTGTGATGCCTGAGTCGCTCCTTATGTTCTGTCAAACCGGGGGTCCAGCCTGCCCACCTGCCTCTCAGTTGGAATGCTCCCATCATGGGGGGGGGGGTCGGGGAGGGAGGAGGAGGAAGGGATGAGGGAGGAGGAAAAGGAAGAGAAGGAGGAAGAAAGGAGGAGGAGGAGGAGGAGGAGGGAAAAGGGGGAAGGAGGGACCAGGGTCCTCCTCTAGCAGGTCCTGGGCCTGCTTCCCGCTCACGGCACCTAGCATCCGCTCTTTTCGGCCCATTCCACAGCTCTTGCCTGGGGCCCCAGGCAGTGAGCACACAGTGTCTGGTTAGCTGCCAGCACTCTCTCCCCTCCCTCCTGGTTTCTTGGGCTCTTCAGGCCCTTGAAGAAAACGCCCCCACTCTCCTGGCTTCTGGGACTGCAGGTGTACAGTCTGCTACCTTGTAGCTAGGGGCTTTGTGGTCACTGTCGTTTTAATTAAAAAGCTTTTTGGTGGGTTTGGAGTTCTCTGCTGGCTGCCACTGCGGATCTGGCCTTTGGCCCAGGCCCTGGAATCCACCCCAGCATCGTTTGCCCTGGGATCTGGGGGGGACCCCCCCAGAGGACGTTCGCCTTGCCACCTTATGAACGTCCGATCCTGGCTCAGCCCTTTGCAGAAAGCACCTGCCCTCGGTCACCTTGTAGGTCTGCCAAGCTGGCCAAGCAGAGAAGTCCTAATTTGGATCGACCTCTGAACCCTTGGCTCCGGCCACACCCTCCCAGAATAGCAACGCCCTTGAATTCTTTCCAGCTCCTACTCTTCCTGCTTGGAAGCTGGTTGCCACTGATGTGTGAGAGGCCCTGCTGATGCAGGGTAGGGGCAGCCAGGTGCCGGAGGCCCTGGACCCTGGGTGGGCACTGACTACCTTTCCTTCACTTACCTCCCAGGTTACCTCCCGCTCAATGGTTTTTTTCCAATAAGTTTCCTGATGTTTTCGATTCCCCTTCTCATTTGACCTTTTCTTTAGCGCCCTCAAGTCCAAGAGGCTCCAGTGTACATAACCTCACGTCCTAGAGCAGGAGAAGTTCTTTCTTCTCCCTCCCTTGAGGCAGGACTTTTCCCAAACCATCCTCTTCTCACCCATCAGGGCATGGAGACTCTGGTTTGTGTGCGTGGTCCTTGGTTGGGTACAGCTTCCAGGGTTATAGTGCTTGTAAATGGGTCGGTGTGGCTGGGCCTGGGGTGGACAGGTTCCCCTCTTTGGAGTGTCCCAGCAGTACACGTTGCATCAGGGCGGGTCTTGATCTTCTTTAGACTCCCGGAGTGCCATAATGTAAAAAGCAGATGAGAGTGCAGGCCCGACACACCTGACCAGAGCGGCCCGCCCTGAGTGGCTGGCAGCTGCCTGCGCTCCTGGTTTGGTCTCGGAATGTCTGTGCTCCAGCCTCCGGGTGGAGCAGGTGCCTCCTGGGGATGGCTGGGGCCTGGGCTCGGGTCTACCCAGCTGATCCCTCTTTCACTCTGACCCCCGTAGGCACCGCCTGGAAGAGGGTCAGGCCACCAGCTGGTCTCGTCGGCTGAAGGTGTTCCTGTGCTGTACGCGGACCAAGGACTCTCAGTCAGTACGTTCCTGGGGGCCGGCCTCCCTGGCCGCCTCAGAGCGGCGGGTGGACAAAGGCGTGGGGAGGGCTGACGGAGTCTCGTCGCGAGGCAGGGACTGAGCCCCGGGGGGCAGAGCCTTTACCATGGGAGCCACCCCATGCCGCAGCAGAATGCCATGGAATCTTGGGGTAGGAGAGGCGCACCACTGTCTGCTGCCTCCTGCCGAGGGAGGCATTCCCAATCATACCAGTTAGAGAGTGCTTTGCAAATAGTGTTTCCTCCTTACACTCACCCTGAGAGATTGGCGCTGTGATGATCCCCGTTCTATAGATAAGGAAACTGAGGCAGGGTGACTTGCCCAGGGTCACCCAGCTCATCAGAGTCTGAGGCTAGATTTGAACGCAGGGCTTCCTGGCTCCTGGCCTGGCGTTCTGTGCCCTGATTTTAGATCATAGAATGTTAACTCCTGACAGGCCTGTAGAACAGACGTGATGGTTGTCCCTCAGAGGAATCTTAGAATCTAGAACACAAGAGTGTCAAAGCAGGGAGGGACCGATCCTAAAATGAGAGGGGCCTCAGGATATAGAACAGAGAATGGGGGAGGGAACAGCCAGAGAACCTAGAATGTCAGCATTTGTAAGGAACATAGAACCTGGAAGGTCAGAGTAAGGAAGGAGCCTTAGAACGGAGAACAAAATGTTGGAGGTGGGAGGGACCTCAGGACATAGAACAGAGAGTGTCAAAGGTGGGAGGGGTTGTCAGGGAGGCCACCTTCTAATTTTACTGATGGGGAAATGGGCCCAGGGAGGGCGAGGAAAGGCCTGCTGCAGGAGGTGGCACTGGAGCTCCTTCTGGAAGGAAGCGTGAAGGTAGGAGGGCACTTCAGGTGTCAGGGACAGCCAGGGCAAAGGCTCAGAGTCAGGGGATGACTGATGCACCGTGCATCTGACAGAAGGGGAAGAGGGAAGCAGGCTGGGAGGACTGCAGATGCCCAATCCTCGCAGTAACAGGGAACCACTGGAGTTCACTGACTATGAGGTTGTCACCCCTGGGCCTTGGCTGCCCGGAGGCAGGGCTGGAGTGGAGACCCCTGTACTAGCCCAGAGGACAAGCAATGAGCTGCACTAGCGGGGGTGGCTGTGTGAGTGCAGACGAGACAGGTGGTCGGTGACCGCCTCCAGGAGTCTTCCTGGAGGAGGTGGCTTTTGTGATGGGACGTGGGATGATTGGACGCCCAGGCTGTCTCTTGCTCCTGCCCCGCTTCTCCTCCTGTGCTCCACTCCCGGCCTCCTCCCTGGATTTTTCAGGATGCCTACTCCGAGATCGCCTACCTCTTTGCGGAGTTTTTTCGGGACCTGGACATCGTGCCGTCTGATATCATCGCGGGCCTGGTGCTTCTGAGGCAGCGGCAGCGAGCCAAGCGCAGCGCAGTACTGGATGAGGTGAGTGCTGCCCGGGCTTCCTCGCTCCTCCTTCCAGGCTTCGTGTTGCTCCGTGAAGGGCTCCCCTTGTGAGCTGAGCGTTCACGGAGGCTAGGTAACAATAACGTGAAAAGATCTGGGGGTCTTAGGGGACCACAAGCTCGAACTAAGGTAGCAGTGTGACATGGCTGCCACAGAGTTCAATGCCCTTCCCATACTCGCTCCCCAGTTGGGTCCAAGCCCCCAGGTTACATCTCCTCCACCTGCCCTCCAGGCTGCAGGGAGACCCCGCCCTGCTTGGCATCTTCTGTCTCCCCACATTTCTTTCCCAGAGCTACTATAGGAGAAGCCTTTGGGCCTGAGACACCCCCTGCCCAGTAGGTTCGAGCCTTTGGAAGTCAGGGATTCCGGGATGTTTGAGGCATGCAGTTCTGGGCAGTCGGGTCAGACGAAGGCGCCCGGGCTCTGTGGTCTGGTAGTACTGTGTTTCGCACAGGTGGTGGGGGCGAAGGAAGGCCGAGACTTGGTCCTTGGGCCCTCAGGATGATTCCTTAGCCGCACCCAGGTCACTGAGCAGTGACATGGGGGAGGGTCCTGCTTTCCTCTGGGGGGATCAGGGGCCTGGCCTCAAGGATGGATGCCTGGATCGTCAGAGGAGCCTGGAAGGGAGCGTCTCACGGGTCCGCTGCTGGGCGCCTGCCCCGCGTGGCCCAGGCTTCTCCAGGCCTCGGGGCGGCACTTCCTCTAACCCACCTGCCTCCGCACGTGCCTCTGTTACAGGCCAACAACGACATCTTGGCTTTCTTGTCAGGGATGCCCGTAACCAGAAACACCAAGTACCTGGACCTAAAAAACTCGGTGAGTCCAAAAAATCGCAGCGACGTCCTGGGGCACTTGCGTGGCCAGCCCGCTGGCCCTGCCTGCTTCCCCCTTCCCCCCCAAACTGCCTGTGCAAGTGAAGCGCACGGTCCCCTTGCTTGGCGCCATGTCTGGCCTGCCCCATGGCATGGGTTCCTCGCCCTCCCTGCCATGGCCCCGCTTCCCAAGCCAGTCTGTCCACCCCCCCTCCCTCTTCAGGCCCAGCTAACCAGCCCTGCAGGGTGCATTCCACTGTGACAGGCCGTGGCCTTCTGAACTGAAGACCATGAGAAAAAATGAAGCCCAGCTTCCTACACCCAATTCTTCTTTCCTCCAGTCAGCATTTGTCAGCTTCCGGGCAAGCATTTGTTAAGCCCCTAGTGTGGCCTAAGCCCTGTCCTGGTACGGGGGCGCAGAGCAGGAGGAGAGACGCTCTGCCATCCCGCTGATGGTGCTCTCACAAGTGGTCCAGTCATTCCCAGCCTCCATTCCTGTTCTCCAGACCTTTCCCTGTTCCCTCCTTCAGGCCACCTCTCACGTGTCTTGGCCGAAGGCCGTGGAGCTGGCCTCTCCCGTGGCCACTGCCCTGGCCTGCTGCCCGTGCCACTGTTGTGCCATCCCCTCAAACCCCCTGAGATGCCCGCCAGAGACTATCAGAACGGAGACATGGCCCCATCCCAGGGCGGGAGCTTCCTTCCACACACAAAGCTGATAATTACCTTCTCTCCACTTGTTCCTGAAGAGCAGCTGGGGATGTTTCCGCCCCTCTGGGCCCTGATTAAGGAGCTACCTACTTAACTTTACAAGATGACTAATAACCTCTTTATAACTTTTACAAGGTGACTAATTCTCCTGAAGGAGACACAGGGCTCTCCCCTTGCCCCTGGCCTGTTGTCAGGAGCCTCGAGTATCCCGGTGACGTTCACTTAAATAGCAGGGACAGGTTATTCCCAGAGGCTGTCTTCTCCCTACATCCTCTCCAGGAGGCCAGGTAGTACAGCCTTGCAGCCGGCCAGGGACCTCCACAGCCTCTCCCGCCTCGAGACCCTCCCTCACTGCAGGACCTTGGCCCGGTCACCCTCCCTGGCCTTCGTTTGGTCCTCCAGCTCAGAGCTGTTGTCTCCTCTGTCCTCACAAGAGCTCGGACAGAAGACCAGGAGCAGGCTTGTTCTCCTTGTTTTAGAAAGAAGTGAAGGCTGCGTGCCACGCGGCGGCTCAGAGGTGACTGGGCCTGGTCATGCAGCAGTGGAGCCTTCCTCCGACCCCTCCCCCAAGACCCCGTGGGGCTCTGACCCTCAGGGCAGCAGCAGTTGCCTGGCAGGAGGCTGGCTCCTTGAATCCACTCATGGAGCTGTTCTGTGTCTGTGACTCCATCTTTGTCTGTCTCCTCAAGATGGTTCCCCAAAGATCCAGCGCAGAGAGGACTTTTGGTCCCCAAATCATTAATCCTGAGATTGACGCAGTAGGACAAGTCTCTGTAGGATTGGCGACCTCATTGCGGGGAGATAATTAGAGAAATGCAATTGCTGTCTTCACTGGTGCCCCCTTCTCACTGACCTCGGGCCTCACTCCATGTCACAGGCTCCCAGAGTGCTTCCCTGTTAACGCAGGCCCTCGAGGTCCCTGGCCAAGGAGCACGGCTGGGCTGGGGGCCTCTGCCGGCTGGGGAGGGGCCGCTCAGGCGTCCAGAGCCGGGCTCTGACCTGCCATCTCTGTTCTCTTTCAGCAAGAGATGCTTCGTTACAAAGAGGTCTGTTATTACATGCTTTTTGCCCTGGCTGCCTATGGTTGGCCCATGTACCTGATGCGGAAACCCGCGTGTGGGCTCTGCCAGCTGGCCCGGTCCTGCTCGTAAGTGCGCCGCAGCTCTCCCTTGCCTTGCCCTTGGCCCCCTTCTCTTCTGGTCTTTTCTAGCTCCCTCCCTCCTTCCTCCCTTCCTTCCTCTCTCCCTTCCCCTTCCTTCCTTCCTCCCTCCCCTCCTTCCTCTCTCCCTTCCCCTTCCTTCCTTCCTCCCTTCCCTCCTTCCTCTCTCCCCTCCCTCCTTCCTTCCTCTCTCCCTTCCCCTTCCTCCTTCCTTCCTCCCTCCCTCCTTTCCTTCCTCTCTCCCTTCCCCTTCCTTCCTTCCTCCCTCCCCTCCTTCCTCCCTCCTTCCTTCCTCCCTCCTTCCTTCCTCCCTCCTTCCTTCCTCCCTCCCTCCCTCCTTTCCTTCCTCTCTCCCTTCCCCTTCCTCTCTCCCTTCCCCTTCCTCTCTCCCTCCCCTCCCTCCTTCCTTCCTCCCTCCCCTCCTTCCTTCCTCCCTCCCTTCCTCTCTCCCTTCCCCTCCCTCCCTTCCTCTCTTCCTTCCCCTTCCTTCCTTCCTCTCTCCCTTCCCTCCCTCCTTTCTCCCTCCCTCCCTCCTTCCTCCCTCCCCTCCTCCTCCTCTTTCTTCCTCTCTCCCTTCCCCTCCCTTCTTCCCTCCCCTCCCCCCTTCCTTCCTCCCTCCCCTCCTCCCTCCATCCTTTGTTCCTTTCTGAGAGCTGATGTCTTTGCTCCATTTCTCCGTTCTCCCCACCTTGGTAGGTGCAGTGCATCCTGTGGTGTCCCTTTCTGAACCAAGCAGACAAACTATAAAACCACAAGGGAAACCTGGTTTTCAGAAGTGCCCCAAGGCCCAGACAGCTTCCCCCAGGCCCTGAGACAGGCTTCCCATTAAACTCCCTCTCCCTCGTCTGACCCACTTTGGAAGTGGAGCGTCCCAGTTGGGCTGGGAAAAGCCTCCAGTCGGCTCTGCCGATGCCGCATCCTTGACCTACTCCCGTCTTCATCCCGTCCCTCGCTAGCAGACCTGCCCCCCCCCCCCTCCGAGGACGGACCCTCCGAAGTGGACCAGGACACTCTGCCCTCCCACACAAGTGCACCCTGTTCCCACTGCAGCCGAGGCGCTGAACTAGGATGGCTCCCTGTGCCCCCCTCTAGCGGCGAGTGATGGCGGTGAAGGTCATTGCCATCCGGAGCCGAGGTCCCTGAAGCTACTTCCTGCTGTCAGTAGCTGCCTAACCCCTGCCTTCATCCCAGAAGGCGGCATCTCAAGCACCCCTCCCCACTCCCCGGCCCCAGCTGGCCTCCAGAGTAAGCCTTAGATCACTGCCATCCTGAACCGAATGCCAGAGCTGGCCTTGGGTTTCTATCGCTCAGCTGTCCATCCCCACAGAATGTGAAAGCAGGAAATGAGCAGGGTGGGGCCCGAGAGCAGAGGGCAGAGGATGTCAGGGGGGCTTAGAACGTGGAGTGTCTGAGCCAGGAGGGACCTTAGACTATTAAATACTGGAGCCAGTGGACCTGGAGAATCCACCCAGAGGAGGGAGGGGGAGCGGAGCCCGGTGAGCTCAGCTTGAGCCCCGGAGCTTCCTCGCCAGCGCCTGCCTCGAGTGAGTGGTTTCTGCTACCCGATGGCCACAGGCGACAAGGCCACGGGGCCATGACTTTCCAAGAGGCTGCCCCGTCGGATGGCAGCTGGCAGCTCTGGTCCTTTCCCTTTGCATGCTGAGTCTTGCTTGCCATAATATTTCAGGAGTTTTTAGGCCCCAGACCACGTGGCCCTCGTCAGGCAGGAAGCTAGCTAATAGGGCCTCCATCCCATTCAATAAGCCCTCCCCCACCTTGAGTTCCATGGCTGGTGACTCTGGCCTTTAAAATCCAGTCTCACAGGAAGCAGCCCGGGGGGTCCGAGGTGGTCAGGACTTTTCTCCTGCTGACGCTGAGTAAATGAGGACATCTGCTTGATGTCTCTGAGCTAGGTCCTGTGATTCAGATAGTCCTTGGTCATGTAACTGTCTCTGGAGCCTCAGTTCCCAGAGGGCAGGACCAGAGAGTTAGGATGCAGATACATGAATGCCTGCACAAAGTTCTGAACCCAAGGCATGTCCTTCAGCCTCCTTGGCCTAACTCGGCAAGCTATCAGAGGCGCCCACACTCTCCTTAGGCAGGAGCCTTTTGTCCCAAGCTTCCTCTCCTCCATCCTTCATCTGGGTCTGCCCCAGCGTGGTCACCCTCAGGGACAGCCGACTGGCCCTTCATTGCTGCTCAGCCAGGCCCTTCCTGAGGACCAAGGCAGAGCCCAGCTCCTGACTAGGAAGGGTCCTGTGCTCCACTGTGACCTCAGCCACTTAAGAGTTTGGCCATCCAAAACCGAAAAGATTGGATCAGGTGACCACTTGGGCCCCCTGCAGCTTTAACATGACGGGGCTGTCCATTCCATGTCCACACACATGCACACACACACACACATACACACACACGCACGCGCGTGCACACACACACACACACACACACACACACACATATAGTAGAAATAAACAAAAGCAATATGGCAGCATCAAGAGCCTGGAATATGGAACAAGAAAACTTAGGCTGGAGTGTAGGCTTTGTTGCTAACTTCCTCAGTAATGTAGCATACACATATATACTTTTTGACAAGTTTATAAAGCACTTTATTATTTTTTTGTTGAAACCCTAATTCCTAATAACCCTAATAAGCAAAAATAGCCAATAATTGAGCCCTGCAAGACTTTCTTCATGATGGCGTTTTTAGCCAGATTTGAATAATTTTGAGCTGAAAGCATGACCTTAATCTTGTGACTGAAATAGTCTTTATAAAGCTTTTCCTCTTGACAGCATCCTTCAGCATGGGTTAGTGGAGGTGTGTGCTCAGCGTCCCCATCCCCCTGCCATCTTCCTAAAAAATTTTAGATGTTTATTTTTTTTCCTATTTTTAAAATTCTACCATTTACCAGTGACTCACTGCCCACCCAAGAGAACCCTCTCTTGTAATGAGCAAATAGTTGAGCACAAGAAATCAGTGGCCCAAGTGGACTCCTTTGTGCCCCTCAAGCGCCCCAGTGTCCTGCCCTGGGCCAGGAGGCCTCACCTTTGGCCGTGTCTAGTCACTGAGGGATCAGAGTCCTGAGGCTACACAAGATTTTTCTCCTGACAGCTTTGTAAGGAAGACAGAACAAGTGTGTTTATCTCCAAGGCATATTGTCAGTAGGGGAGCTGGTTACCTCATCTGTAGTAATGATGAGAATAAGAATATTTATGTAGAGTTGAAGTTTCCAAAGCAGTTTGCATATGTTATTTGACCTTTACAGTAAGCTTAGGAAATCTGACAAGTGAGGAGACTGAGGTTAAATGTCCTGCCCAGAGTCATACCACAAGTAAGTGTCTAAGGAGGAAGTTGCCTAGAGGTCTTGATAATGGCTCTGCCCCCCCCCCCCTATTCTGCTGCCTCTGCTCAGTGATGTAAAGTTCCTTCCAGCCTGAAATTCTGCAATGAGTGCAAAGAGGGCCCCAGGGTTGGGATACTGAGGGGAAAAGCCACTGCCCCCAGGGGAATAGTCAAGCAGGGTTTCATGAAGAAAGTGGAATTAGATTGGTTCATCCATCTCTCATCCCACTGACCACCTGGACTCATGTTTATCAGCCCTCCAGGAAAGGGGCAGAGTGGGGGGGGAAGAGAAGATGTGCCTACCGGTCCATGGCCAGGCAGTGTGACCCCCCCAGAAATAGGACCTAAGAGGCTACTCTCCCAGCCCTGGGCCTCGCCTCTCTCTCGACTAGCCTGGGTGCAGGGGGGCGGTCATATTTCAGTAGGACTTGCCAGGAGCCCTCCCTTGTTTGCACGTGCCTAGCAGCCTCTCATGGGTTTCCCAGCCAGCCAGATGGTCCCAATGGAAGCCATCATATACCATGGAACTTGGGTTCGGCCCTGATGCGCCTAGAGCGGGCCTCACAACTGCAAAGCGTGTAGCTCAGAATGAGGAAAGGCTCCAGATCCAGGCTTCTTAATAAAACCGCAGCCATGTCTCCAAGGCCCCAAGGAGGTCGGGCTCTTGGTGAGGAATCAGTTGGGTGCTGGCTCCCTCTGGTGGTCGAGAGTAGAGCTGCACCCCTTGTTGGTTCAGGCTTCTACTCTGTCCCCCACACCTTCTCGGTCTCCCCTCACAGGTGCTGCCTGTGCCCCTCCCGCCCCCGTTTCGCCCCCGGAGTCACCATTGAAGAGGACAACTGCTGTGGCTGCAATGCCATCGCCATCCGCCGCCACTTCCTGGACGAGAACATGAGCTCGGTGGACATCGTCTACACCTCCTGCCACGATGCGGTGAGAGGGCCGGGGGAGGGGGCGCAGGGCCAGCCTCACCAGGTGGGGGATCTGCGATGAGGGGCAGGACGCAGGCGGGCCCCTACGGCCCCAGCCAATAGCCAATGATCCCCCTGCTTTATCCTAGCTCCAGGGAAGAAATAGGACTCCTCCCTACACCCTCCATTCTGGCCCAACAGCCCAACACCGAGAGGTCAGACCGAGCCCGAAGAGCACGTGGTGGAGGTGTTCGGCTCCCCTCCCCACCCTCTGAGCCTGGCAGTGCCCAGGCGACCAGGGTCAGAAGTAGGAAGGTGATGGTGTGAGAGCCCTGGACGAGTGACGTCCCCGGCCCTCGCCCCTCGGCCCTGTCCTCCCGCAGCTTCAGCCCTTTCTTTGCCTCTGGGACGTCTTCATTCTGAATTCCCTTCTCCATCTGCGTGGCCTAGAGGCGTCCCCTGCCTGCCCTTCCCTGCCCTGCTCCCCAGCCTGTGTGAGCCGAGAAAGAAAACTCTTTCTTGAGTCAGTCTCCAAGCCCCACAGTAGGCTCTGAGGGGGTTCAGAAGGCGAAGAGACGGGGCCCTGCCTCCCGGGCTGGTGGAGGACATCAAGTTTTGCACAGGCGCCGATGGGAGAACAGCATGAGAGGAGATAACAGAGTGTGAAATTGTGTGGGACAGAGCAGAAGGGCTGGAGGAGTTCTGAGACAGACAGAGGAGAGTAGGCCGGTCAAGTGGGGAAAGCTTCGCGGCGGACTCGGTCCTTACAGAACAGACCAGATGAGGCAGGAGAGCAGAGGAGGGCATTCGGGGGGAGCACGGCACCAGCAAAAGCCCGGGAGGAGGGGATGGCTGGCAGGGGTTTGGCTTTCCTTGCTTTGGAGCAGGGCCAAGCTCAGAGCGATGCACTGAGTTCTGAGAGTGCACTGGGGAGCCCACACAAGCTGGGGGCCAGCATCTGGAGCCTTAATGTGACCTCACTGCTTCCCCCAAACTTTGGCCTCTGCCAAGAGAGGGACCCCAGCTGCCCGATCCTCACTGACTCTTTGGCCCTACCCTCTTTCCAGGTCTATGAGACGCCCTTCTATGTGGCTGTGGACCATGACAAGAAGAAAGTGGTGATCAGTATCCGAGGAACCCTGTCCCCTAAGGTACACGGCCCCAGCCTTCTGCTTCCCTTTGGTCGTTCGGCCCATAATAAGCCAACAAGTCGTTATAAGGCACCTACTGCGTGCCAGGCACAGTGCCAGGGCTTGGGGGTACGAGGACAGATGAGGAAGCGATGCTGCTCGTGGCGAGGTTATGGGTTAGTGTAGACGACCAGCGGTTATAAAGTGACTGAGTGCAGCTAAGCAGAGCAGGCAGCCTGGGGGGAGGGCGTCGGGAAAAGCCCCATGCCAAAGGTGACACCTGGATGCGTCTCAGAGGAAGGGAGGGTTCTGGCCAGCCGCCTGTGCCTGGCTTCCTGAGTCCTCTTCCCCGCCAGCCCCTCCTCACCTTCCTCGTTCCCAGACCCCCCTTCCCCAGGTCCTCCTCTTATCACTGACCTGTCTGGACTCTCCTCCAAGGATGCCCTGACAGATCTGACCGGCGATGCGGAGCGCCTCCCTGTGGAGGGCCACCATGGGACGTGGCTGGGACACAAGGTACCTTCCGCCCCCTCCTCTCCTGGCTGCTCTCAGTGTCCTGCCTTGGGACCTTTGCCGGAGGGTCACCTGAGTGACGGGGACTGCCTCGGGGCCCTCTCCTCAGAGAAATAGGCACCTCCCAGGCCCCCTGCGTAGGGAGTGGTTGTCATTGTAAGCAGATACGGTTTGCTAATGTTACCCACCTGACCTTAGGGTCAGGGCAGTGCCCACCCTGTCCTCCAGTGACCTTTGCCTGGGTCTGTCGCCATCCTGTTGGCCGTGAATGGGTGGGGCCCGAGAGGAATGTGGGTGTCAAAGAAGGGGCCTCTTCACCCATGCCTCCCTCTTCCTAGGGGATGGTCCTCTCTGCTGAATACATCAAAAAGAAGCTAGAGCAGGAGATGGTCCTCTCACAAGCCTTTGGGCGGGATCTGGTGAGTTCTTTCCACCTGAGCCAGGCCCCTCCCAACTTCCTGGGCCCTAAGGGCACTCCCCTGCCAACCTGCACTCATAGCATCCTCCTTGGATAATGGCTTGGTGGTTTGGGGGGTGAGCTTTCTGTGGAGCTTGCGTCCAGCCCCTCCAGGCCCCAAGGGAACAGGTTTAGTGGTGGAGGGGGCCCAAGGTGTTTGACCTCAACTCTCTCCCCCAGGGCAGAGGAACCAAGCATTACGGCCTGATTGTGGTGGGCCACTCTTTGGGCGCGGGCACCGCGGCCATCCTTTCCTTCCTCCTGCGCCCTCAGTACCCAACTCTCAAGTGCTTTGCCTACTCCCCCCCGGGGGGCTTGCTGAGGTAGGCGAGTGCCACGGGTGGGAATGAGGCAGCCTTTGTGATCTTGGAGCCCAGGGGGGAGGGCTAGGGCATGCCTTTGGGGAGGCAGGAGGCATTGCTGATGCTTAGAAAACCCACGGAGGGGTTTGGGCTCCTGGGCCAGTCTCGGCTTTGGTGAGCCCGGGGAAGACAGCAGCTGGCCTGGGAATGGGAATGTGCTTCTAGAAACCTGGAGAGCTGCCTGCCGCCCGATCCCAAGAGGGGTGGAAGGTGGGGAGCAGGGTGGTAGAAAAGGCTTAGAGACCAGTCAGGGGCCAGAAGGAAGCTCAGCGTCTGGACCCCAGTCCTCCCCCTGAGCAGCGACCTCCGACCAGCTCTGGACCACTGTTCTCAAGTCCATTCTGTTCTTTAGGGAGTTAGGCAAGCTAGGTGTGCAGCTGAAAGATCCGCTGTTGGGCCTGGAGTCAGGAGGACCTGAGGTCAAACCCGGCCTCACACGCCCACTAGCTGTGGCGCCAGGCAGGTCCCTTACCGTTTGTCTGCCTCAGTTTCCCCATCTGTAAAATGGAGATAACACTAACACCTTCCTTCCAGGTGGTTATGAGGTTTGGACGAGATGTTTGTTAACGCACGTGGCACATAGGTGCGCTATAAATTTTAGCCATCATCATTATTATTGTTGTTATTGTTATTATTATCATTATCATTATTATTATTATAAGGCTTCTGTACTCAAAGCATTGGGCCAGACCTGGATGAAAAAAAGAGTTTAGACAAGATACAGCTCCTGTCCTCGGGAAGCTCGCATTCAGCTATGTGGTGTGTGGTGTGTGTGTGTGTGTGTGTGTGTGTGTGTGTGTGTGTACATATATACATACATACGTATATTGTGTGTGTATATATAACATATTACTTTTTGTTATCGTTCAGTCATTTCAGTCATGTCCAACTCTCCATGACCCCGTTTGGGGTTTTCTTGGCAAAGATACTGGAGTGGTTTGCCATTTCCTCCTCCAGCTCCTTTTGCAGATGAGGAAACTGAGGCAGACAGGGTCCAGTGACTTGCCCAGGGTCACTCAGCTAGGAAGTATCAGACTAGATTTGAACTCTGGTCTTCCTGACTCCAGGCCCAGCACTCTGTGCACTGTGGCGCCCCCAGCTGCCCCTTATTCCATATTACTACAATACAGGAAAGAGGAGGTGGCATAACTTAGTGGGTACAAGACCAGCCTTGGAGTTGCAAGCCTCGGGTTTGAGTCTCCGCTCTGACGCACACTATTGGTGGGACTGGGGGAAATTATTTACTTTCCACTGTTCCAGGCAACTGTATGAGACTATAGGTTAGAGGTAAATTGCCCGTCGCACTAGGCAAAGGGAGTTAACATACCAGAAGTTCCCTACACACAAAATGGAAAGTCCAGGAGAAAAAAGTGGTACACTTAATGAGGCCATTACACACTATGTGAGGCTCAAGGACAAAGTGGCCTTGCCAGCTGGGATTGGAAATGGGCACGGAGGCAGGGTCTGGGCACGGATGGTGTGGCAGACAGACACAGAGGGAGCAGGAGTGCCGTGTCTGAGGGTTGCTGGAGAGTACACGGGAAAGACGGAAAGGGGTGATAGGCGACCTGGCAAAGGGCCTCGAGTGCCAAGGTACTCGGAACGACCAGAGGTTCTCGGCCTAGCCCTTGACCCTGGGCTGTGGGTTCCTTTGCAGCGAGGATGCCATGGAGTATTCCAAGGAGTTTGTGACTGCGGTGGTCCTGGGCAAAGACCTGGTCCCCAGGCAAGTCTGGCCTCTCTGGCCTCCCTGGCCTCCCTCTGTCCCAACCAGGCCCCTCCCCGGCTCACGCCCCTGTCCCCATGTGCGGCTCCCTCGTTCCTCCCATCTCATTGTGTCTCTTGCCTTGCCCTACCTCTTCTCAGTGTCCAGTGTCTTCAGCCTCCTCCCTACCATCGCCTTTCACCCAGTCCTCCTGAGATGTTCCCCAGCCACTGGTGCAGGCCCAGGCCTCCTGGGTGTCACCATCTCATCCCGCCCTGTATGCCATCCCCTCACCCTGCCCAGCCTGGCCTCGGGCCAGCTCCCTTTGGGTTCCCTCCCCTCCTCTCTGCTCTGCCCCCTGCCCTTTGGCCTGGGCCCTCTACTCCTGCCTCCCAGGGCTGAGTTTGGCCTCACTCCTTCCCCAACAGGATCGGCCTGTCACAGCTTGAAGGGTTCCGAAGGCAGCTTCTGGACGTCCTGCAGCGGAGTACCAAGCCCAAAGTGAGCAGGTGCCCCCAGGGGAAGGCCATTCCCACCACAGTTGTGCCAGGGCCGGGGCCTGTGGCTTCCCGATCCCTGAGGGTTATGTTGAGGGCCAAGAGGGAAGTCTAGTGGTCAAAGTCCCACTTTGATGTCACTTTAAGATTCAGACACCTTCCTCACATCCACTTTGTGAGAGAAGTAGAGCACATATCCCCAACTTATAGATAAAGAAACCAGACTCAGGATGGTTCTGTGACTTCAGAGGTCATGGTCTGATCCTTCCCATCAGCGCTCTGGAGGAGGGAGACCATCGTGGGAGGATCAGCTGAACGGACTAGGGACGTTTAGCCTAAAGAAGAGAAGGTCTGGGGATAGCCGTGGGTGTGGAATCTAGACTTGTTCTCTTTGGCCCCAGGACACTGGGCTTGGGGTGTGGGGAGTCCCAGAGAGACAGACCAAGGCCTGGGGTCAGGCCATTAATGGAAGCTAGAGGCTGGAGGCCCACTCCTCAGGGAGGTCGTAGGGATGGTTAGACTGGACACCTCTCCAAGTATTCCTGGAGTAAGGAACCTGGGTTCAAATCATGCCTTGGACATGTCATGAACTATGTGGCCTGAGGTAGGTGAGTTAACCTCCCCATGCCTCAGCCTTTTCATCTGCACAGTGGGGACGATATCTCCAGTTTAGCCCACAGGCTTGTTATAGGGAAATGTTTTATCGTCCTTCAGGCAGGACAGAAATGTGAACTGTGCGACCAGAGGCTGGACATTTCGGCCTGTGCTTTCTCCCTGGCGGCTCAGGGCTGAGCAGTACGCCCTGGGGGTGATGACCAGTCAGTGGACAGGCACTTGGGGACACACAGGGAGCCTGTTCCTGCCTGGGGGAGTTGGCATCCTCCCCGGCTTCAGCTGTCTCCCCAAAGCCAGACAGTGCCTGGCATGTGGTAGGTGCTTCATAAAGGCTTATGAAATGACTGAATAACTGACCACAGTCAGCCTCCGGGAAGCCTCGGCCAGGGCGGCAGCCCGTTCTTGGCCATCAGGACCTCCGTACGCTGGCTGGAAGCTTGCTGGCCTGGGCGTTAGCCTGCTGTGCCAGGGCTTCCCGTCGTCCCGTAAGCGCTGGTGCTTACCTGCTGCCCAGCCCTCACTGCTGCACCCCACCTCGCCACGCCCCTTTGGGGACAGTGCTCAGTTTCCTGTTTCTTTCTGCCCTCTTCCCAAACCTAGTGGCGCATTATTATCGGGGCAACCAAGTGCATCCCCAAGTCGGAGCTGCCGGAAGAGGCCGAGGTGACCACCATGGCCAGCAACCGCCTCTGGACCCACCCCAGTGACCTGACCATTGCCCTCTCGGCCAGCACACCCCTGTACCCCCCGGGCCGCATCATTCATGTGGTACACAACCACCCCGCCGAGCACTGCTGGTAGGCACCGTAGGGCGCCATGCGGCCAAGCAAGGGCTAGAGGCCGGTGCCTCTGGCCTGCCCTTCAGCTGTAGCCAGGGCCCATCTGCTCCGGGAGTCTCTGCCAAGTCTGGCAGCTCATGGCCTGGGTTGCTGGAACCTGGCTGTGATCCCAGCTGAGTCTGGGGGGCTCTCAGCTGTAGCTGTGGTTTGGGGAAACTTTGAACCTTTGGGGCCCACATGGGGCAGAGCACGGGGAGGGGAGGGAGAAAGGGGCAATTAGATGACGTCTCTGATCCCAGTGTCAATGTCCGTATGTCTGTCCCAGCTGCTGTGAGCAGGAAGAGCCCACGTATTTTGCTATCTGGGGGGACAACAAGGCCTTCAATGAAGTGATCATCTCTCCAGCCATGCTCCATGAGCACCTGCCTTATGTGGTCATGGAGGGACTTAACAAGGTAAGGGGGAGCCTGGCCCCCGACTCTAGAGAAGCCGGCGGGAGCTGCTGCCCAGAGCAGGGCCAGCTGCACAAGCCGTCGTAGCGGGCAGGAGGCCCTGCCACATAGCCCTGGCCGGGGCATCCTGGGACCTGGTGATCCAAGGCTTGAGGATTCAGTTGTTTACAGGATGTTTTAGTGATGTTTCCTCTTTCTGTCCCCTTTTCCACCTGGTTGCTCCCACCCCGATAGAACCTTTCCTTGTCATGGAAATAAAGCAAAACAAATGAAGGAACAGGCCAGGACTCACTTCTCTCCTCTTCCCTTCTCCCTCCTTTCTCTTTTTCCTTCCTCCTCCTCCCCTCTCCCTCCTCCCCCTCCTTCCCCTCTCCCTCTCCCTCCTTGTCCTCCTCATCTTTGACCCACCCCACCCCCCTTCACTTGCCACTCTTCCCTCTCCCTCCCCCAAGGCCCCTGCAGTCTCTTCAGTGTCCTCCTCAGGATTTCCTCTCCTGGCCTGGCATCCTTTGCTCTGCATAGGTCCCGTGGGTTTTCCCTCTGAATCTGTCTTATTTGTCATTCCTCAAGCACAAAGACAGGCCCTTCCTAGCCCCCACCCTGTCACCACGGGCAGGTCTGTCCTGGTGCTTCGCCATCCCCCAGTCCACGGGGAGCCACCATGCTTCTTGATCCCGCGGGCGCCTTCTCTTGGCTGCCGCCCCCAGGGTCTCTGTAAATACACTGGCGTCCGTGGGACTTTCAGCCCTCCGCCTTCTCAGGGGATGGGCCCATAGCAGTGTCACAGAACCCACAGGTGCGTGCGGTTGGGTGACTCTTCTCATCTGGTACCCAACTGGAAGGGGGAGGTCGAAGCTCCCGCCCCCAAGCGCCAGGGCCCTTCCCTCTTTTATCGCCTTCATCCGTCTGAGGGAGCTGAGGTGGCACCTCTCGGCCCCTCTCGTTTAATTATTAACAATCTGGTGCGTTCTTTCACACGGTCGTTGGTGGCCAGCATTCCTCCTTTGGAAAGGTGACTTTGACCGCTGGTCTGTTGGGGACCGTGCTCGTTCTTCATTATGTTACTGCCCTTTCTACCCTGCCAGTGCTGGAGAATTCCTGAGCTGCGTGGCCCAAAGGTTCTCGGCACCCACACGGAGGTGCTCCCTTGCGAGGCCTCAGAAGGGTCATGGGACACTTGGCTCATTAGGTAGGGGCCGAAGCTGAGGCCTGAGCAGCCAAGAGGAGAGTGATGTGCAGAGCCCAGGGGCTCAGCCCCCTACTCCTTCCTCAGAGAGGAGGTCCTTCCTCGTTGGTCACTATGGGTGAGGCCCTGGACCTCTCTGGGCTCCAGGGGCCTTACTCTCAAACTTCATACTTTGTTACACCGACCACCCCCCCGCCGGTCTTCGTACCAGGGCAGCCGACAAGCAGTGGCATAGAGGGACTTGTCCCTCTCTTTCCTCCTCCTGCCCCCAGGCCTCCCCTGGGCAGTAGATCACGGGTCAGAGGAGAGAAGTAGAAAGATGAGCCCCGGACAGCTGGGAGTCTTTGGTTGACCAGCTTGGAGTGAGTGGGCAGGGTTGCCTGAGGGAGCCCTCAGCACCTTCTACAGGGTAAGGGGTCCCAGGCTAGCGGTGGAGAACGCCTCCCTCGGGGCCTTCCTTGTGGGTGACTGCCGTCTACTCCCTATGTAACCTTCGGCAAGTCCCTAAACCCCTGGGCCTTAATATTTTCATCTGCAAAAGGAGGAAAATAACGCAGTGGATAGAGCGCTGGGCCTGGAGTCAGGAAGACTCGTTTCTGTGAGACACTTCCTAGCTGTGTGACCCTGGACAAGTTACTTCACCCTATTTGCCTCAGTTTCCCTTATCTGTAAAATGAGCTGGAAAAGGAAATGGCAAACCTCTCCAGTGTCTCTGCCAAGAAAACCCCCAATGGGGTCATAGAGAGTGGGACAGGACGGGAGCCACTCAATGATAGCCTCTGGCCCCAGGGACAGTCTGGAGAGTCAAAGATGCTGCTGCCTGTTTAGCGCCATGAGCCGTGAGGCGCTGCATGAGTGGGAGCTGGTCCTGGCGTTCGTTGTCATCATCATCATCATCATCATCGTCGTCGTCGTCACCATTGTCACCATCATTATTATTGTTATAATCATCACCGTTGTCGTTATCATAACCACCGTTGTCATCACCATTGTCATCGTCGTCATTATCATCATTATCATTGTTATAATTGTCATCATTTTCATTATCATTATGGTTGTCATCATCGTGATCATTATTGTAATCGTTATTATCATCATTGTCATCATTGTCATTTTCATCGTAATTACCCTTATTACTGTTATAATCGTCATCCTCATCATTGTTATTATCATTGTCATTATCACCATAATTATCATTATTGTTACTGTCATTATCATCATTGTCATCATCATCGTTGTCCTTTTCATCATAGTTACCATCATTATTGTTATAATCATCATTATCTTCATCATACTTATGATAGATGAAGATAATGATCACACATCATCATTATCATTATTGCTGTCATTACCATCACCTTTGCCATTACTTTCTTGGGAGGAATTCCCTTGGCAGACCTGTCCCTTTCTCAGAAGCACGCACACTGACAGACCAAGCCTCTGGCCCCCTTTATCTTGGGAGTACTGGGGGCACTTTGCTGTGCCTCAGATGCCAACAGGCTGCTGCCTAGCCCTCCTTCCCCTCTTCTAGACTCCCTAGTGCTGTCCAGGGCACCACCATCCTCCCAGTTTCTTGCAGCCCAGATTCCTCACTCTCCCTCACCCTAGATATCCAGTCACTTCCAAATGCATTTGTTTCTGCCTCTTCAGTATCTTTTGTATTCGTTTCATACTCCAGCCCTTTTCTCTACTCACTCTTCACCATAGTTCAGGCCTTCATCCTCTTAATTGGTCTCCGTGTCTCAGATCTCATTCTTCTCTCCTCCCTCCTCTCCACAGTTACAATGATGTTTCCTCAACTCAGGTGTGAACATTTCATTTCCTTACTTGATACCTTCTATTAGCTCCTTGTTGCCCCCAGGATAACTTAGAGACTTCTGTGTTTGGCTTGTAAAGGCCGTCTTCACCTCCTGGCCCTGACTTGCTTGGAACCTCATGACCTCTTACACAGGACTGTCCAGTCAAACTGGCCTTCTTGCTATTCCCCCTCCACAACAGTCTCTGCATGCCCTGGCACCAGCTCTCCCCAGGGCCTGGAATTCACTCCATCTACTGGCCGGGTGAACTTGGGCGAGTGACTTCACTTCTGAGTGCCCCAGGAAGCTCTCTGAGGCTCTGAGTTTCATTGGCAGAGGGAGTTTCCTCATTTGGGAACTCTCTATGGCAATGAAGTCACAGGTCAGGTAGGAAAGAGTGGGGCAGGGTGAGGAAGGAAGGGAAAGGAAAAGAGAAGGAAGACTTGTACGTGTCTATGGTGGCATCCCCAAACAGAAAGCAGCCTTGAGGGCGGGGGCTGTTGCCTTTTTGTGTCCCCAACATCTAGGATGGTGCCGGGTACCTAGTAGGAAGGTGCTTAATAAATAATTAATTGATTAATTCATGGGTATGGAACTAGGCACAGGGGATACAAAGGAAAACTAATGTCCTGGTCTTCAAGATGCGTATGTTTTACCGGGGGATGTAATGTGTTCCCTGGTAAATAAATACAAAATACATATCATTTCAGGACATGCAATACTAGCAACTAGGGAGAGTAGGAAGGACCTTCTTTAAGGGGAGCATTGGAGACAGCTCCACAAAATGGAGGTGAAGAGGAAGTGCATTTCAGGTATGAGGGATGGCCTGTTCAAAGGTGCAGAGATGGGAGATGTTAGCCAGACTAGTGCTAAAATGGAAAGCTATCAATGGCTCGATATCCTGCCCTCCCCTCCAACTCCCCACAGCCACCCCTACGTGAACTGCGTAGCCAAGCTCAGCTTGCTCACCACCCTCCATAGCAGCCTCCCTGGCATGGGGCCCTAGGTTCCCTCCCCTACCTGAACTTCTCTTGAAAGGTTTATTGGAGGTCTCATTCCCTTTGTACACCTTGCCTTAATCGTGAACATTGATAGTTATAGCTCTGGCTGGAAGAAACCTTAGTGATCACCTAGCCCAGGGGTAGGGAATCTGTGGTCTCCAGGTCACATGTGGCCTCAAGGCCTCACATTCCCCTCCCCTAATCTAGCCAGATGCCCTCATACAACAAAGGAGGAGACCCAGGGAAGGGAAGTGACTTATCCAAGATCCCACCACAAAGTAGTGTTGGGACTGCAGCTTGAGTCGCTGGACCCCATTTGGAATGACTTGGAAAAATTGTGGCATCTTTTGTCTTGAAGATCATGATGAAGAAAATACCACCACCACCACCAGAGGGTGATACTTCAAGAATTGATTCTTTTTCTGGCGTAAAGGTATCTGCCATTGCTGCAGATCCCAGCTCCTGTAGAACTTGGGTCATGTAAGGGAGTTGCCTGTGACTGAAAAATATATTGTCCTGGAGGCCCAGCAAGCAATGAATATACTTGGGGTTCTTAACCTTTTGTAAGCCCTGGACCCCTTCAGCAGTCTGGTGATGTTTATGAACCCCTTCTTAAAATAATGACTTTAAATGCATAAAACGAAAGATTGGATTGCAAAGGAAACCAAAGTTCTCAAATTATTATTTCAAAAATGTTCACAGATCCGAGGTTAAAACCCCCCTGCTCTCTACACTCAGGTAGGCTGGCCATGGGACCTTAAAGATTGTCTAGTCTGGGGGCTGTTAATCTGAAGAACTTCTTTTTACTTGGCATATAGGAAGTACCTAATAAACTTTAATGGCAACTTTTCAAATGTTTTGATAACTTTGGTTGGTGTCCTTTGTAATCCTGTACTGTGCACTTAAAAACATTCTGAGAAGGGGCCCATAGGATTTGTCAGACTGCCCAAGGGCTCCATGGCACTGAGAAGATGAAGGACCTCTGCTCTAGTGCAGCCTCCTCGTTCAGCAGAACAGGCCCTGGATTTCCGTGTGTTCTCTGCCTCCATTGCCTCCCTGCTTTCCTCACAGGCTATCCTTTGACCCTGAGCCTGTATCTGAAGCCTTTGCCACCTGGCAGGACCCAGCTCAAGCCCAGGCATGTCCACGCCAAGTAGAGGCCTTGAGTTCGGAGGCCTTGGGTGGAAGGGCAGCTGAGGCCCAGTCGGGGTGTTTGGAGGCTAACACTCATGACTGACATGTAGATTGGAATCTGCAAAGTGCTTCATCTCATTTGACCCTGGCCACCTGGGAGGCAGTAGGCAGGCATTGTCGCCTCTGTTTTACAAACAAGGAAACTCTTGCTGAAAAGGGGAAAGTGTCTTGCCGGTAGTCAGTCAGTTAGTAAATGCCTGGGGCAGGATTGGCGCCCAGGTCTCTGCTGACATTCTTCGTGACCCAAAAATACTGGCTTGGTCTGCCGTTTCCTTCTCCAGCTCATTTTATCTTTTTTTTTTTTTATACTTTTAGGCAATTGGGGTTAAGTGACTTGCCCAGGGTCACACAGCTAGTGTCAAGTGTTTGGTCTGAGGCCGGATTTGAACTCAGGTCCCCCTGACTTCAGGGCCGGTGCTCTATCCACTGCGCCACCTAGCTGCCCCTCTCCAGCTCATTTTACAGATGAGGAAACTGAGGTTAAGGGTTAAGGGACTTGCCCAGGGTCACACAGCTAGTACGAGTCTGAGGCCGAATTTGAACTCAGGCCCAGCACACTGCAGTGCCGCCTAGCTGCGTCATGTTGGCTAGACTACAGGTCCTCGGGCCTTGCCCATAGACAGGTTCTGCTCAGCCATGAGCCTGTGGTTCACTTTCCAGAGCCTTTCTCCCCAGGTGCTGGAGAACTACAATAAGGGTAAGACGGCCCTGCTCTCTGCAGCCAAGGTGATGGTGAGTCCCACCGAGGTGGACCTGACCCCAGAGCTCATCTTCCAGCAGCAGCCCCTGCCCTCCGGCCCCCACTCCCTGGAGCCTCCGCCAGCCGCCCCCAGAAGCAGCAGCATCAAGTAAGTGCCACTTTCACTCTCTCGGAGGGTTGGGCTTCGGGAGGACCGGGCAGGGGAAGAGGGGCGGGGGCTTGTCTCCCTCCGTCTTCCATCCCATGATGAAGTCAGTGAAGGGACACCTTCCCCATTAGGCATTCACCCAGTGAGCATATCCCTGCCCGGTGCCCCTCCCTGACCATGGGGACCAGGACCCCAGAGCTGGCGGGAGTCCTCCGCCTGCCTTGGCCTGAGGCCTAAGCCACGACCCTCCTCCCTCCTGAGGGGCAGAGCCCACTGCCACCCAGGAGCCTCCTACCGACCGGCCCTCCCTGCCCCCACCCCGCTCCACCCCCAACTTGGCAGGAGCAAGTCCCAGTCCGAGATCAGCCTGGAGGGTTTCTATGAGACCAAGGCCTTGTCCCCCACAAGGAAGGACCCGGTGGAGCTGCTGCTGCTCACCACCCAGGAGCGCCTGTCGGTGGAGCTGCAGGCCCGGCGGGCCCCCCTGGCCACCATGGAGAGCCTGTCGGACAATGAGTCCATCTACAGCTTCGACTCTCGCCGCTCCTCCGGTTTCCGCAGCATCCGGGGCTCCCCGAGTCTTCACGCGGTCATGGAGAGGGACGAGGGCCACTGCTTCTACATCGACCCGGCCATCCCCGAGGAGAACCCTTCCCTCAGCTCAAGGACAGAACTGCTGGCCGCCGACAGCCTCTCCAAACACTCGCAGGACACGCAGCCGCTGGAGGCCGGGCTTGGCAGCGGCAGCGGCGGGGAGAGCCCGCAGCCACGCTCCAGCGGGGAGGAGGGTAGCTCTTCCCCTGCCCCGGCTAGGGGGGAGCTGACCCTGCAAAATGGGCGGCTGGGGGATTCGCCGAGCCCCCAGGTCCTGGAGTTCGCCGAGTTCATCGACAGTCTCTTCAACTTGGACAGCAAGAGCAGCTCCTTCCAGGACCTGTACTGTATGATGCTGTCCGAGAGCCCCGGCGGCGGCGACTACGGCGCGCTGCCCAAGTCGGTGAGCGAGCAGGAGATCCTGCTGCGGGCCCAGTACGAGCCGAACCTGGTGCCCAAGCCCCCCCGGCTCTTTGCTGGCTCCGCCGACCCCTCGTCCGGCATCTCGGTGTCGCCCTCCTTCCCCCTCAGCTCCTCGGGAGAGCTCATGGACTTGACCCCTACCGGCCTAAGCAGTCAGGAGTGTCTGGCCGCAGACAAGATCCGGACTTCTCCCGCTGGCCACGCGGCCAGCCCCTCCAAGCAGGAGGACCTCGTGATCTCGGCCCTCTAGTTCTGGGGGTGGGGGGAGCTCGGACCCACTACACGAAGCATGCGGCAGACCCAGGCCTGGGGTCGTAGTCCCCTGCCTGCCCTCTGGCACCGGCTGGAAGCATCACCTGAGGGGCGGTTGGAGTCCTCGGGGCGGGTGCGGCTGGGGAGGGAGGGGCCGAGCAGCCAGCAGACGAGAGTGGAATCACAGGGTCCGTTTCCCTACCTCAGCCCCAGTCAGTGCAGGCTCCTGGGGTCCACCGTGAGCTGGGGAGGGAGGTGAGCAGTCCAGGGTTCACCAAAGTCGCCACGTGTGTGGGAAGGAGCCAGGAAGGGGCCGGGCAGCGCTTGGCCTGCCATCCTCCCCCTCTCCCCCACCAGGAACAGCCTTCCCAGGGCTTCTAAGAATCATCACCTGCGTTCGTCTGGGCCCTGCCCCCCCCCCAGACCACCCCAGCTTTCTCCCTGCTCTCCTGGGGAGGAAAAGGAGCCAGGGTCAGGCACTGCCCTCCCCTCCTGGTGCCCAGAGACCGGGCATTAGGAAGAGGGAGGGGTGTGGTAGCAGTTTATTTCCCTGACTCTCTTCCACCTCATCCCTAGCCCCCAAAGCCCCACACCTGTCTTTGGCACGTCAGTGAGACTTGCCTCGGCTGCCTCCCCAGCCACGACCCTCAGTCCCCAGTCTAAGGTCACAAGTCAGCAGACACTAACCGAGTATGTTTACAGAAGCCGACAGGCTCAGCCCGAGATGTTCCTGCTATGACGGGGCCTAGCCTCCCCTGCTCAGAGGCAGCTGCCTTCCCCACAGGCTGGGTAGTCCCTGAGGGTGGGCCTGGCCCAGGGGCCCCTTAGGGGACTTTTTAGGTCCCTCCCGGCTCCCCTCCCACTCCTCAGAGGAAGGAGCCTTTTGGGTCCAGTTCACTTCTCAAGCCCTAGGACCCCCCAACCCCGTTTAGTTGCACTCACCCTGCCCCCCCCCCCATTGAAGGCTTCTCAGATCCTGCAAATGTAGACAGCAGCCTGGCCTGAGGCTTTGAAATGAGCTTTCTGAAGGAAATGGGTGCAGGTCCCTGAGTCCCCACAGGTCCCCAAGTCCCCACAGGTCCTGGGGGCAGCTAGGCCATGGGGACAGATCAGGAGCGTCAGGAGGTGGTCGAAGGACCTGGTTCCTTTTGGCACTGGCCTTTCCCTTGTAGGCCTTCCTGGCTCTGGCATTGGGGCTGCAAGCTGGTCCTGCTGCAGCAGTGACACCCCCACCCCTTTCTCTAGCCTTTGCAGCACCCCCGGGTGAACCCCAGCTGCATGGTGAGCTGTACTGCTTCAGAGAGGAGGGAAAGCAGGCATGTCCGCTGCTTGCTGGGTTGTTCATAGGCCTTCCTGCCACCTGCATGCATTCCCCGAGCTCAGGGCACTTTTGGAGAGAGGGTCCTTGCCTGCTTCCCTTTTCCCCAGACACCTTGGATGCCAGTATTTGAAATGAAACCCTTTGCTACCTCCTCCCTGCCCTGTGGCTGGGCCACCTCACTCCCAGGACGCATCTCCCTTCTCAGTCCCTTGGAGAGGGGCCTCCTGCCAGGAGGGAGACCTCTGTCTGTCCGCACTGCTGGCCCCATGCCCCCATTAGCAACTGAACCTAGGAATATTGCCCTGTGAAGAAGGAGGCATGAAGGCCTGCTTGGGCTGCCTTAGAAAGGGATGTCTGAGGACCCTCCAAAAGGGTAGGGTTCTGTGGCCTCCCACATGCTGCCATACCCACAGAGGTGCCCATCAGAGACTGAGCCTCCTCCCACCACCCCCACCCCCAAGGGGCAAGGCCAGGGGTAAGCCCAGTGTTTAAGTGTTTTCAACAGCCAGCATTTTCCTTGCTGAATTTAGGGTACGCCTAAGGGAAGGGCGAGGGAGCCAGACACTTTGACACCTCTGGCCCTCGCAGGAGCCCTTGGGAGCACACAGTGAGCTGATGTGGCCTGGCGAGTTGTGTGTTTTCCAGCTTCTCCCCACAGGGTCCAGGGAAACAGCAGCACCCCTGCCTTTCTCTCAGCCCTCCCTTTTCTCCCCCCATGTCCTGGACCTTTTGCTTTCTTCCTGCTGCCACCCCAGTCCCCCTGCCCCTGGGGATTACCATCATGGGATGTGACTGCTTAGACACCTCACCAGCCTGCCCAGGCTGGGTCAAGTATTTCTACTGTCTCCATGTCTCCCCTCTCGATTTTGCCTCGGTTCTGTTCCCTGGAGCTTCTTTGGGGATGGTTCGGAGGCCTGGCCTTTTCCCTTAGATGGCATCAGAATGCCAGTGAGTGAAGGTCACCCCTCGGGAGGGGCCCTTCTTTGCTTTGCCCTCTTCGCCTGGCTGCACCTCTGTCCCAGTCCCTGCTTCTTCTGGGATTCCATCCTGGGTGTTTTGAAAGGAAGAGAATGTCCCATGATGCACCTGGGCAGTGGACATCGTAGGCTGGAGGAAGAGCCGCAGTGGGTATCGGTCCCAGAGCTTGGGCTGCTGCCTCTCACAATAAGAGGAATGATGCCAGGGAATCACACTGTGTCACCTCTGATACCACCTCCCCTGTCTGCATCGCTGGCCCCACCTATAGCCTGCCTTCCCCTGGGACCCCCTGCTCCATTCTGCTTCAGGGGTCACACTCTAGGGTCTGATGGGGCCGACTCACTGTGGACATAGGCTGCTCTTCAGCATGGAAGGGAGATGATGGGGAGTTTAAGGTTCTGCTCCCAACGTAAGTTTGTGTCTGAGGATTTAGCGTCTGTACACTGTCCATAGGGTTGCCTTTCCTTGCCCCCCAGCCTCCACCTGCCAAACTTCTGCCCCAGAGGCAGAGCCAGCTGGGTGCTCCAGAGCCCCAGGCTCCCCCAACATACCCTTTTCCTTCCCCCTCCTCGAAGGCTGTAGCCACAGTGCTATAGGTTGTCTGGTCCAGGGTCCCAAAGCCCCTCTACACTGGGTAGGGACAGGTTCTCTCCCAAATGCCCCCAAGAGACATTCACCCCTCTAAAACTCCTAGGCTCTGCCTCGAGTAGAGAAGGACCTCTGGGTGTAAGGGGTCACTCCATTCTCCCCTGGGCCAGCAGGGAGCCAGGAGCAGCCACCTCCCACCTCCACCCTTTAACCTCCACCTCTGGCACAGCCCCCACCCCACTTTGCCCTCAGATCCCTGCCCTCAGTGGCCCTGAGCTGCTTCATTGTCCAGAGGCTGACAGAACCTCCATATGCAATCATCAAGGAAGCAACCAGGCCTTCCCCGTCCTCATCGCCCTCTCTCTGGCCCCCCACAGACAGTCACGTGCTCCACGTGCCATTCCCATCTGACTTTTTTGTACCTAATGTATAAAATCCAAGCTAATATTGCTGTAAAAAAGGAGAGACAAATTAATATAGCTTATTCTATAAATCTGTCTGTATAGAGAGGTTTCTGTATATTGTATAGACCTGTGTATAAACTGGTTGTAGAAGCAGGCTTGGTGTGAGTGACTTTGCCCAGCAGGCCCTGGGGACAGGCAGGGGACACTTGCCGGTCAATCAACAGCTTTTTATTTGGTGTCGGGCACAGTTCTGGGTTCTGGGATTCAAAGACAGAGATGAGGCCATTTTCAGCAGACTGGCCTTTCCCAGGGTCTGCTGGTCAACAAGCATTTATGAAGCGTTTATTCTGACCGCTGGCTGGGACAGCGGACAGAGCGCTGGACTTGGAGTCAGGCAGCGCCTCAGACACAAGCTCTCGGCAGTCTCCTTATCAGCCAGGTGGCGCAGGTTGCCTCAGTTTCCTCCTCTGTAAAGTGATCTGGAGAAGGAAATGGCAAACGTTTCAGTAGCCTGGCCAAGAAAACCCCAAATGGAATCACAAAGAATCAGACAACTACTGAAGAGCAGCAGCAGCTTTCCAGAGTTCAATGATAGAATGTTTGTAAAGCGCTTTGCAAGCTTCGAAGTGCTTTATAAATGCCGTTGTTATTATTATGTGCCAGGCCCTGTGTTACGCACTGAAGAATACAGAAAAAGTGAAAAACAGCCCCCCCCCCAAGAGCTAATATTCTAACGGGGGGGAGGAGGAGGAGACAACATGCAGATAATTAGGTCTGTACGTGGTACAGATAGTGTAGATAGAAGGCGAGACGAGAAAGGCAGGCCTCCTGTAGAAGGTGGTGTTTGAACCGAGTCACGAAACGCAGGGGTACTAAGAGCAGAGTAAGAGGGCAGAGCTGGGGGATGGTGGGTACAGAAGCATGAAGATGGCAGATGGCACGTGCTGTGTTCAAGGAGCTGTAGGCAGGTGGGTCAGCATTGTTAGATCACAGAACATGTGGAGGGGAATGAAGTGTGAGAAGCCTAGAGGTTAGAAAGGGGCCTGGTTCTAAAGAGCTTTCAGTGTCCCACAAAGGAGTTTGTTTCAGATGGGGGTGGGGGGGGGGGAAAGGGATGGAAGAAGCAGCAAGTCCAAAGAGGGCTACGGAGGGAAAGGTAACACTCCTGGACCCATCGGCGTCCTGGATAAGCAAGAAAACGAGGCAACGTGAGAGTAGAGCACCTGGATTCCTATGATCCTGTGAGTTTGGGCTGGAGCGAAGCCCTCTCTCAAGGCCCTGAAATATCCCTAGGAGTTAGAGTTACACTTCAGGGTGGGTTAGATGAGGAAGGACTATGTCTCAAAGCCCCATCCAGCCTTTAGATTCTGTGATTTCTTTCCCATCCCTGTGGAAGCTAGCAAGTGGGCTCAGGAAATAGAGAGTTTTCAAAATATCACGGGGAGAAAAGTGCATCGTTCTCCTCATTGAAGACCTCGATCTGGAAAAGAGGCAAGCAAGAAGGGAGTTTCCTTTCCCACTTCCCCCAGTCCGAGGGTGGGAAGAGGTCAGGGCTCCGGACCAGGGTGGTGCCCTCACCGGGAGCATCTGACATACCCTTCCAGGCAGATAGCCTACCTTGGTAGGGATTTGGAGTCAAGAAGATGTGGGTGGAAGTACTAGTTTGGCTACATATTCCAGTGAAATAGTATAGTACAATGGAAAGCGTTCTAACTCTAAAGCAGCAGAGGATCTGGGGTCAGATTCTGTCTGATGTTTACTACCTGTGTGACCTTAGACAAGTCATGTAACTTCCCTGGGCCTTAGTTTGCTTCAACGTAAGATGAGGAGGCTGAACTGCTTATTAGACCAGCTCTAGATCTGATGCTAGAACCATTTATTAAAGTGTCTTCCATGTGCCAGGCGTGATGGATAGAATGTTGGACCTGGAGTCAGGAAGACCTGAGCTCAAATCCAGCCTGAGACACTTGCTAGCTGTGTGACCCTGGGCAAGTCACATAACTTCTGTTTGCCTCAGTTTCTTCAACTGTAAATGGGGATTATAATATCACCTGCCTCCCAGGGTTGTGAGGGTCAAATGAGATATTTATAAAAGTGCTTAACACAATGCCTGGCTCATAGTAGGTGCTACTTAAATGCTTATTCCCCCTCCCTTCCTCTGTACTAGGAGTTGGGGATCCAAATTCACAGCTAATGTTGAAAATGGGGTGTGTGTGTGTGTGTGTGTGTAATGACAGGGCAAAGGAAAAAGGGACAGTGAGAAAGGCATCTTGAAGGAGGTGGCCTTTGGACTGAGCTTTGAAGGGAACGAGGGATTCCAAGAGGTGAAGGTGAGATAGGATAGCACTGCAGGCATGAAGTATAGCCCATTGCAAAGGTACAGAGTTGGGAGATGAATTTTGTGTGGGGGGGTATCAATTAGGCAAATTTGGTTCAACCGTAATGTGTATGAGGGGAGGGCTGGATAGTCAGGCTGGAAAGATAAGCTTGAGCCAGATCTCAAGGGCTTTACATTCCAGAGAAGTCATAAAGCTTAAGGAAAACTACCGAAGCTTTTCTGAGCAAGGAAATGACACGGTTGTGCTTGTGCTCCCCGAATATCAGTTTGGCAGCAAGTGAGATTCTAGAGGCCAGGAGACCAGTTAGGATGTAACTGGGGAGTAACCTGGGGAAGAGGGGGTCAGCGGCCTGGACTGGGGCGGGTGTGGTGTGAGTGGAAAGAAGGGCCAAGTTTGAGACACTGTGAGGAGGAGGGCCAGCAAGGCTTGGCGACTGATTGGGTGATGATGGAGAGTGAAGAGATGATGAGACTTCCTGGGTGTAAACCTGGCTGCGCACAAAATGGCAGCCTCCTGGTCAGAATCAGGGAATCAGGGAGGGAAGGAACTCTGGGCAAAAGAGTTCTGTTCGGACATGTTGAGTTGAAGATGCCCACGGGACCACGAGATGCAGGTGTCAAGCAGGCAGTTGGAGATGTGGGACTGGAGCTCAGGAGAGAGGGATAAAATTGGGGGGTTACCAGTGTAGAAATGATAGTTGAACCCATGGAAATGAGAGAAAAGAGGGAGAAATAGAAAGACACACAGAGAAGAGAGACAGACAGAGACAGAGAGAGAGAAGGAGGAGGAAGAGAGACAGGCCCAGGACAGAGCCCTGGGGTGGATACACCTGAAATAGAAGGTGGGACGTCGCTGGGATGATGATCTCACAAGGGAGACCAGAGGATCAGCTGGACAGATCAGAGGACTGTGATGGGGCTATCATGAAAACCCAGGGAGAAGAAGCCCTTGGCCTGGGCCTCAGTTTCCTTTTCTGTAATGGTGGGTAGGGTGAATTAGGTGATCTCTAAGGCCCCTTTCAGTTTTAACATTCCCCAATCCCTCCTAACAACTAGCTTTTCAGCCCCCACCATAACCAAAACAAAGCTGCTGAAAGTGCCAGTCCCAGTCAGGCCGCCACGTTTATGAATCTAGGTGCCTAGGCGAGCCGCTCCCCTTCCATTGGCTTCAATTCCCACATCCACAAAGTAGGGGAGGGTGGCGGGGGAGTGCCCAACTGGGTAACTTCTACATGGCCTTGGACAAATCGCTTAACTTCTGGGCCTCAGTTTCCTTCTCTGTAAAATGAGAGGGTTGGGATAGATGTCCCTTGTGGTCCCTTCGTCGCTCTAAGATTAGGATCCAAATCCTGGCTTACAGGAATCACTCAAGCTTCCAGCCTCAGTTTCCTCCTGTAAAATGAGGGGGTTGGGTTTTCACGTCCCTCGCTGTTCTAAATCCATGGGGCAAGGAATCTGGGAATCCAAAGGAAGAAGATGTTCTCCTTTCCGACAGCAGGTGGCGCTGCTAGGCCCTTCAGGGAGGGGTCATGGCTGCAGAGAGCGGCATTGACCAAACCATAGGATGGGGTCTCCACGCAGGGCCCCTTCTTCCAAGAACTGACACATCCAGTGAGAACCACAGACTGCCAGAGCTGGAAGAGACCCTGGAGGCCCCCCCCCCCATTTTACACATGAAGAAACTGAGGCCCAGAAAGCAGGCAACTTTCCCAAAGTCACAGCAAATTAGTCAGAAGGGGTGATGCCTCCATTGAAGGAGGCTGTGCAACGGACATCTAGATCAGAGAATTAGAGATGGTCCCCAAAATCAAGCCGCTTCCCCACCCCGCCCCCTTCAAGCTCCTGTCTGATTCAGATCCCACGGGGGGCCGCGCCCCGCGTTAGTCCCATCTCCACATCAGAAAGAAGTGGTTTAGCCAGTCATTCAGTCAAAAAGCATTTATTAAGCGCTTGCTGTGTGCCGGGCCCTGGGCTAAGGGCTGGGGAGACTGAACGGTCCCTGCCCTCAGGGGAGAACCAATGTGTGAATCGTGATGTGAGACACCCTAAATGGGAGGTGCGCGGGGTATCGGCCCCAGATCCGAGAGGTCTTAAGCCTCAAGGGCTGGGTCTGACACCGAGCCGGGCAGCTTTGGACTGTGTGCCACTGTCCCTCCGGCCGCTGCCCAATGAAGAAAGGGGATAGGAAGGGCTTTTGGGTGGAGCCCAAGATGGCGCTGGTCTAGTATGTGGGTCTTACTTCTCAGTGTGTTCCGGGAGTACAACGGGGACTGAGCGCATCTCGCTAGCTGAGCCCTGACAGTGAGAGGGAGGGTCAGATCCCTCCCCACCGAGGCAGACTGCGTGTCCCCCCCCCACCCCAACTCCAACATAAACTCCTACTTGTATGCAGATACACTTGCTTGCTTGCTTCTACCCAGAATCTCCACCCCCAAGCCATGGGCCTTTTGCATCAACTCTCACTCAAAACCAATGAAAGAGAATCACCTTCTGATCCCCAGATCTAGAACCCATCCCAGCCAAAGGCAGCTAGATGGTGCAGTAGACAGATAAAGCCCTGAGTTCAAATCCAGCCTCAGATACTTACTAGCTGTATCACCTTGGGCTGGCCCTCTGCTTGCAAACCTCTGCCTTCCTTTTCTCCTGTGTGAAATAGAGATCATCATAGTACTCTGCCTTGCCGGGTTTGTGAGGATTCAATGAGAGAATACTTATAAAGTGCTTGGCACATAGCAGGTCCTTAGTAAGCATTTCCTTCCTTCCTCCCCTCCTTCCCTCCCTCCCTCCCTCCTTCCTTCTTCCTTCCTCCCTTCCTTCCTCCTTCCTTCCTTCCTTCCTTCCTTCCTTCCTTCCTTCCTTCCTTCCTTCCTTCCTTCTTCCTTCTTTCCCTCCTTCCCTTCCTCCCGCCTTCCCCCCCAAAACGGGTACATAGCCCACGACCAGGGCAGGGTTGGGGTTAAGAGCTGACTTCTCAGAATTTATAAAAGATAGGATGTGGAATTGGAAAGGACCTCAGATACCGGCTAGTTTGATGCTTTCGATTTTTTCTTCTTTTAAACAAAAGAGAAACTAAGGCGCAGTCATGAGTCCGACGTCAAGTTAACAGCAGGGCCTGGAGTCCAGGTCTTCTGCTCCTGCTCCGGGGCTCTTTCAGCTGGAGGAAGCACAGCCCATGAAGTGCCGCAGGGCCCCAAGCCCAGGCTTTGGCCTTTGTCTCTGTGCTGCTCTGGGGAGGTGACCATGAAGAGACAGGCAGTCAGAGGGGGAGAGCAGGGGATCCATGCCTCTGGTTTTTGCTGCTGCCTCTGTCTTGAGGTGAGACACTTGATCTCCTGCTCCGTCCTGAGCTCTGGCTTCTCCCTGCCTGAGAAAGCATCAGAGCTGGGGTCAATGGCCAAGAGAGGTGAGAGCCCCCTGCAGAGAGCCCAGCCCAGTCCCAGGAGGAAGTGTTAGCTGTCTGCCAGCAAGAGCCTGGGCAGGGGGGCACCGTCTGGGACCCTCTCTCAGGGCTGGACCGATCACCCCATTGGCCTGACGGGCACACCCCTCCCCCCTCTGGGCCTCAGTTTCCTCATCAGCACAAAAACATCCCTTCTGGCTCCAAATTCTGTAATTGAATTTCCCTCCCCCTGGCAGGGCCCTTCCCTCCTTCCCCACCCCCTGCCCATCCTTTTCATTCTGGGAAGCACCAGATAACCTGGATTTCCAGGATCCCATCAGCCATTCCTTGTGCTCCTGTCCCAGGATGCTTTGCATTTTCATAATGACTCACCCTCCAGGGGCTATTTAACCTGGGCTGGGGACTTGGAAGGGTCTGTCTCTCTGTTATTAGCTTCCTGTGCTTTTGTTTTAATGCCTTGAAGAACGGGCTCTGGGAAGGGGTCCCTGGGCTTCAGCGGACCATTGGTCTGTGGTCACACGCAGCCAGTAGGCTGAGATGCTGGATTCGAATCCAGCTCTCCGGCTTGGGTCTCTTTCAATTACATGAACCTGCCTCTTCTGAGAGGCAGTGCTTTCCCCAGAGAAACAGATCCCTGAAGGTTCGATCTTGGGCTTGGCAGGGGAGATGTTTGGGGGCAGAGGACCCTTCCTGGCCCCAAGGGGTGGCTGCCTGGTCTGGCTGTGGGGCTATCCTGGGGGAAGGGGTGCGGGGGGGGGGCAGCGTCAGAGATAACAATTGTGTTTCTCAGGGTCGCAGCAGAGGAAGAGACAGACCTCCTGGGCTTTTCAGCCCACAAATAATAGGCCTCTTAGTGCGCCCTCCTCCTCCCTCCACCCTATCCCCTGCTCCCTCCCCGGGAGAAGAATTGGTCAGCGCACAGCTGGGGCTTCCAGCAAGATCCGATTCTATATGTAAGAGAAGAGGGCCGCTGGGCAGGCCTGGGGCAGACAAAACCTCATTGTGAGCCGGCCCTGCATCGGGGAGAATGAGGCCCAGTGCGGCACCCCCTCCCCCACCCCAGCCCGGGCCGGGCTCGGCATTGACCCTCCCCTGCCCACATCTGGACGGCCTGGTCCCCACAAACCCACCCCAGGTTCAGGGGTGGGAGTGGGTGAGATCGGGCCCCGGGCTCCCAGGGACACCATCCTCCCTCAGCTCTGACCTTCGCTGACTCTGTGATCTTGGACAAGTCACTGCAGCTCAAGAGAGCCTCAGTTTCCCCATCTGTAACACTGGCAGGGACCTCTGGTCTTCCAGCCAAGGGTCTTTGTTGAGGGACAGAGCCAGAGACTTGTCCAGCGTCCAGAGGCAGGTTCTCCACCTCCACTGAGTCATGGACCACGTGTTAAGCCCCTTCTCCGAGCCAGAGGCTCCTGGGCTCTGTCCAGAGGGCCAGCCCCACTCTCTTTTCCAGCGTCCCCGGCCTGCTCCCAAAGAAGCAGAGAGGACAACGCAAGACATCTGGTCCAGCCTCCCCCCACCCCCATTTTACAGAAGAGTAAACTGAGGACAGGGGAGGGAGGGGGCTGACCGCGGCTGGCCTCGGTGGATGGGGTGCTCTGAAGGGGGCCCTTGACATAGAATCTCATCTGACCCCACTAACAATGCAGGGATGAGAAAAGGGTCGCGGAGTGAGTGTCCCAGGCACTATTTGAACTCAGCACCCAGTTCTGCGTTTGCCTAGCTAAGCCGCCTCCCCCTAAAGTGCTGGACCTGGGTTCCAATCATGCCTTCGGCACTGGGCCTCAGTTTCCTCGTCTGTAAAATGGGGAGGGGCAAATCCCTTAAAACTCTATAAAGGCGCTGGAAAGGTCCTTAGAGTGGGTCCAGTCCGAACAAGCGGGGTGCGGAAGGGTCCGCTTCGTGACTCGCCCCGCGGGTCCGGGAGGCCGGCGCTCTGGGGGCTGCCCCCTGGGCCGCAGCGCGGGGCGTGGCCGCCAGGGGGCGGGCCCACGGGGCGGGGACGGGCGCACGGAGGAGCGAGCGGAGCGCCGGGGAGCGCGGAGAGCGCAGGGCGCAGCGGGGGGCGCGGGGCGCAGGGAGCGCGGAGAGCGCAGCACGGCGCGGCGCAGCAGGGGGCGCGGGGAGCGCACGGGACGCAGCGCGGCGCGGCGCGGCGGGGGGCCGGGGCCTGGACCTGGACCTGCGGCTGCCGCTGCTGCCCGGCCGCACGGCGCCGGGGATGCGGCCCCGCCGGGCCGGACTGTAGCGGCCGGAGCCGGGCCCGGGCGGACATGGAGGTGGTGGACGAGACGGAGGCGCTGCAGCGGTTCTTCGAAGGTGAGAGCGGCCGTGACCTCCCCCCGACCCCCTTCCACGCTGCCTCTCCCCTTCCGCGCCGTGTCCATATCCTCGGAAGCCCCCTGCTGGTTCCCCGGCCCCCCGGCACGCAGCCCCGGGGAGCTGAGCCTCCCTGGTCTCCCTGGTCCTCACCCCCGTGTCGGGGTCCCCCCATCAGCCCTGCCCCCGACGGGGTGCTGTACCCCAGGCTTCAGGCCGCTGGCTGCCCTCGCTGCGTCTCCCCAGCCCGTGGCCCCAGGCACGCATCCCCGGGGTGCTCTGCCCCGGGGAGCCCCCCACCCCACCTGCTGAGAGCCTGGCACTGCGAGTCAGGACGTCCCTGTCCCCTCCCAGGCGAGACGCGGGGGTTCCTTCTCATCTCGCAGTGAAATGGGGCAGGGGGCTCCTCTCCCCTGCAGCCCCCACCCCCAATCTTCCCAGCTCAGTGTAGCCCACTGCGCCCTCGGGTCTGTCCAAGGAGAGGGCCCGCCGCTTGCCCCCCAGTGTGGGGAGGGAGAACAAGCTGATGCGGGGGACCCCCCCCATCAAGGCCGCATCCGGAGCCCGGAGTGTGGGCCAGAAGCTCCTGCCCCCCTGCTCCCGGGGGGGCTTTGGGAGAGCGGGGTGGGCAGTCCCCAGCGCACCCTCTGCACTGTGGCGTTGGGGATTCCGGGGGCTCCCCCTCATTCTAGGGGGTCCGCTGTGGCCAGGGCATCACGCCGGGAGTCATAGGGGGCATGTCCCAAAGGAGGAGCCGGACCTCAGGCAGCGGGCAGAGGGGTGCTGCCCCCTTCATTCCCGGCCCGTCCAGAGGCTGGGGACAGGATGTCCCCTCACGCAGGACATCTGGGCCAGAGGGAGGGAGAGCCGTGCCAGCCTCCCAGCCGAGGTTGTGTCCCGCGGGCCCCCTCATCTGGGGGTCCAGTGGGGTCACGGCCCCCCTTGTTTGGGAAGGCAAAGCCAGCCATCCCCCCCTTGTTCTCGAGGTGACCAGGGAGGGTAGATGAGCGCCTTGTGGGGCCCCTGTGGGCTTCTCATTTGGGGGGCTCTTGGTCCGGGGGTCTCCCCAAGGTCTGTCTTTTGTGGAGGAGGGCCCCGCCTGACTCCCTCTCCTCCAGGAACCCAAACCTTCCGCCTTGGCAGCCCCGGGGGTGGGGGTGGGGGGCGGCCCGTGCTGACGCCATGTCTCAGCCATGCGGCCCTCATCCCGGGAGATAAGAGGCGCTCAAGAATGCTTGGGGGGAGAGGGGGCCCTGCCCACCGGCTCCGGGGGCCAGAGACTGGGGGAGGGGCGGGTCTGCTCCTCCCTTTGTGTGGGGCCGAGGCTTTGGGGTGAACGTGCAGGGGGCGCCGGGCGGGAGGTGAGCCTGAGCGGGGCCTGCTGGTGCAGAGTCGTGTGCGTGTGCATGCGTGTGCATGCGTGTGCATGCGTGTGCACGAGCGGAGGCGCCCTCTTTCCCAGCCTCGGGCTCCTCATCTGTACAGTGGATCCCATCCAGGCTGGGGTGGGGATCCTGCTCTAGAAACATAAGTCATCCTTATCACCAAGGGTGGCAGAGATGTGGATGGGTTGGGGGAGGGGAATAAAGCCGCTTAGAATTTTCAAGCCGAAAAGATCATGGGATCTTAGACCTAGAACCGCAGGGGGCCTGGGAGGCCACCTGGTCCAGCCCCCTTGTTTTACAGATGAGGAAACTGAGGCCCAGAGAAGGAAAGGGACTTGTCCAAGGTCACACAAGCAAAGCCAGGCTTCAGACTGCTGTTGCGTTCTGGGATCCTCCTCTTCCTCCTGGAGGGAGGGTAGGAGGGACAATGGGGGGAAGGGCAGAGCCGTACCTAGCCCAGGATGTGCCCCAAAGCCGGTGTGGGGGTGGTGTCTGACTCTTCTGACCGCATCTGGGGTTTTCTTGGCACAGATATTGAGGTGGTGGTTTGCCATGTCCTCCTCCTGCTCATTTGACAGATGAGGAAACCGAGGCAGACAGGGGGGAGTGATTTGCCCAGGGTCACACAGCTAGGAAGTGTCCGCGGTCCCATTTGAACTCAGGTCCTCCTGAGTCCAGGGCCGCTGCAGCACCTACCTGTTTTTAGCCCTCTCTAGATTTGGCGGCCTGAGACAAGACTCTGGTTTTACGGCTTCGGTCTGAGTCTCCTGGCCGGTTTGGGCCAGTGCGAGGCATACACATTCCACTTATGGTCAAGGGGAAGAGAGGGAACCTTTGGCCCCTCTTGTTCCGTTCCTGGGGACCCCAGAGATCTGGTCCAACTCTCTCCTTTTACAGATGAGAAAACTGAGGCCCAGGATGGTTAAATGATTCGCCTAAGGTCACTTAGGTAGTGGGTGGCAGTCAGGATTCAAACCAAGGTCCCTCGTCTCCATAGTGAGTGTTCCTTCCAGCCTCCCCACCTGGCAGGGGCTTGGGGAGGGGGAAGCTAAGGAGCTTTGTGGCCGCCTCGGGGAGCCTGGTACCGCCCAGCCCCCCAGGATCAGCCCCAGGTAATCCCCAGCCCCCTCAGCCTGGAGGACCGGCCCGAGGCAGTGGCTGTAGAGGAGCTGGGCCGTGGGACTGGCGGAAGGCAGACATCCCCAGGAAGGGGCAGAATGCATTGGTTCCATGCAGGTAACCCAGATCCTGGAGGGATGGCTTGCATCTGCTTAATCCCTCTCTTGAGCAGGTGGCATCGGGCACCTGAGACACACCTCCATGTCCTGGCAGGACCAGGGAACCCCTGCGAGGGGGACTTCAGAGTGGGAGAAGCCTAGATCGGGGTCAGGGGGGAGAGTGATATCGGGGCCCTTGGGTGTGGCATGGTAGGAGGGAGATTGGAGGGGTGGGGAAGAGACGAGGGATCTCTCACTGGCCAGGGCTGAGCATCAGAGCCTGGGGCCCAAGGCCCAAGGGGAGGGGGGCAGAACCTGAGAGGAAGCAGGAAATGCAGAAAGAAAAAGGGGAAGAATGAGAGGGGGTGGCCCCCTGGGGTACTGGGAGGAGCCCTCGGGACACCTGGGTGCCCCTGAAGCTCTTCCCCTGACTGTGAGGACCAGACTAGTGTGAAGCTATAAAATGCAGGGACTGGTCCTCGGACGGCCTCGGCCTTTTCAGTGAATGTTCTGTCCTGTGATAAAGCGCAGATGGTCTGGAGTGGGAGGAGGGGGCCCCTGCAAGAGTCAGGGAAGGAGGTGGTGAGCAAAGGCTCGAGAAGAGAAGGTCCTTGTCCCCCTTTGAAGGGGAAGATGAAGGCAGAGGGCTTGGGGAGGAGTGGGCGGTGATCAGGAGAAGGCGGGGAGGGTGTTGGGGAACCTTTGCCTGATGGAGGGGCAGAAGGGTGTAGGAGCGATTTGGCAGTCCAGCCGCAGAGGTCCAAATGGAGGCTGGCTTGGAGGAAAGGTGGGGGATGAAGAGAGGTATGTCTCTGAGGGCAGGAGAGGGAGGGACGGAAGCACAGACGGGCAGACGGCCTGGAGATAACCTTAGGGAGTATGGATCTGAGGGGGATTCTCCCTCGTCTGGGGAGGTCATGTGGTAGGTAATGGATGGATTGGGAGTCAAGAGGCCTGGGTTTACATCCAGATCTCGTGGTAATTAGCCTGGGCGAGTCATTTCCCCTCCCTGGGCCTCAGTTTCCCCACGTGTAAAATGAAGGGTTAGAGTGGCTGGTCCCTCCAGCCCCCTTCAGCTCTGAATGACTGGATATTGTTTGTCCTCATGAAGACAAGCCCAAGATGGTTGCTGTGGGGGCCGCCTCCCTGACCCCGCTTCACTGGTGGGTGTGGATGTGTGTTGGGGGGGGACAGTGGGAGCATAGCATGCTGGGTAACTGTCTAGCACTGACCGCTGATTGGCTTTGCCTTGGACTTTGTGCCGGCTGATAAGAAACCTGAAGCAGAAATCATTAACTGGAATTATTAACCTGGGGCTGCCCACAGTCTGCCTAGCCCTGGCCTGGGCCTCTCCCTCCTGCAGGCAGCAGTGGTGGGAGGGCCCAGGTGGGGTGGGGGGGTAGGGTAAGCTCAGGATCTGGGGTCCTGGAGTTGCAGCTAGGAGGGGAGGCCACTGGTCCAACCCCCTTGTCCTATGGATAAGGAAACCAACCCAGCCCAAGGTGGTGAAAGTGATTTCCCCGGGCACATCTATACACAGTGTAGGATTCTACTCAGGTCCTCTAGACTAAGCCCAGCCCTCTGGGGCTCCTCACCTAGCCTGTGCCTCAGTTTCCTCCCAGAGACCCTTCAACCCCATGCCCTGAGCCAACTGGGATAATTCACATCTCCACAGCCTTGAAGATGATGCAGTGAATTTGGAATCCGGAGCCGCCCCGGGTATTTACTCTGTGACCTTGGGCAGGCCTCCGGAGCACTTCCCTCACAGACAGAGGTATTGGGAGCTCAGTGAGATAACTGTGGACAGTTCACTCTGAGCCTTAGTGAGAAGCCCAGAACTTTGCTCACAACAGCCTTGTGAGGCTGGGAGACCAAGGTTACCATCCCCATTTCTCAGATGAGGAAACTGAGGTAGATCGAGGTTAGGTGACTTGTCTAGGGTCTCACAGCTAGTAGAGCTGGCACCTGATTTTCCTCCCTCTGAGCTCATAAAGGGCATAATTGGAGCAGGGGGAGGGGCAGACCTTTGGCCTAGCTGGCCAAGTGCCCGTCTCGGTATGAGGGGCAGTGGGGGCATCGCATCCGCCCTGTCCTCTGTGGCCTGGCCTCATGGAGAGGTGCTGCGCTGTTCAGGGCTCCCCATTTCCACCCCACCACCGTCCTTGGGGCGACTGGGTACATTCAGCATCAGGACCAGGGGCCTGGCCCCTGGCATCCCATCATTTCCCTGCTGGCTGTGTCCCCAAGGCCCATTCCCATTGGCTTTCTTTAGGGTAGGGGTGCAGCAAGTGGAGACCCTTGGCAAGGTTTGGCTTCCTCTCCCCGCAGGATGCAGTGGGAGCTGTGAGGAGCTCATGGGCTTCATATCCCACCTCTGACATTTAGCTCTGTGAACCCC